AAAAAAAATGAATAAAAATTTAAAAAATAAATATGTACTAATACATAAGTGACCATTGCTTTTATGAGAATTGCTCAAATAATGGTTTCATTAATGTATCACCACAATATAGATACACAGAGCCTCCTTTTAAATTTTACAGCTTAAAGTCAAATGGAAATTATAGACCTAAAATCTTCTCCAAACTGTTGATGAGCTGGATTAAAAAGTGTATGTATAATGACGGTAGGTCATCACACGTGGTCCTCTCATCAACCCACCCCCTGGTGTGGTCTTCACACTGAGGCACGCGTTGGTGCCCCAGAAGCCTTCCCAAGGAGGAAGCAGGCATGGTCGCTTTAAGGGAAAGACTTGCCATTGCCTCAACTTCCAGCTGTACTTTATTAAAACTGAATGATGGTGGACTAAACCTGTAGTCGTGGACATGATCTCCTTTCCCACCGATCCCTCTTTGTTTAAAAAAGTACTGAAGTAAAATTCACAAAACCTAAAATCGGCTGTTTGAACACATTCACAGTGTTGGGCAACCACCGTGTCTATCCGGTCCCCACACATTTCCATCCCTCCAAAGTAAAATCCCTTACCCAGGAAGCCGATTTTCCTCCTTCCCCCTCTCCCCTTGCCCCAGACAGTCACCAATGTACTTTATCAGTTGATTTATCTACTCTGGGTATTTCGTGTAAATGGCATCATATAATACGTGACGTTTTGTCGTTCACTTAGCAGAATGTCTTGGAGGCTCGCCCACTGCTCGCCTGCAATTCGGTGCTTCGTTCTCTTTATGACTGCTGCGCCGTTGTATGGCTAGACCACGCTTTGCTCATTCATCGGCTGACGGCTGCTTTCTCACAGCTATTGAGAATCAGGTTGCGATGAACATGGATGTGCAGACCCCTGGGATCCTGATTTCATTTCCTGCAGATAGAAGCCCAGAAGTAGTGTTGCTCGATCCAGCGGTAGTCCTATTTTTGTCCTTTTTTGAGGAAGCACCATTCTGTTTCCCTGCTGGCTGTACCATTTTATGTTCCCTCCGACAGTGTGCAAGGGTTCCCTTTCCCCCACAACCTTACCAGCATGTTACCTTTTGTGTGTGTGTGTTTAAATAATAATCATCTTAACAGCTGAGGTGGTCTCTCATTTTGATTTGCGTTTTCCTGATTAGTGATGATGAGCGCATCTTTTCATATACCTGTTGGCCATTTCTTTGGAGAACTAGCTAAGTCCTTTGCCCATTTTCTAACCAGATTACTTGTTGTTTTGCTACAGAGTTGTAGGATTTCCTTACATATTTTGTATATGAACCCCTTATCAGATATATGATCTGCAAATATTTTCTCTCATTCCATACATTGCCTTTTCATTTTGTTGACTGTTTGCTTTGCTGTGCAGAAGCCTTTTGATTTGATACAGTCGCACTTGTCTGTTTCCGCTTGTGTTCCCTGTACTTTGGGTATCACATCCAAGAAATCGTTGTTAGGTCTGATGTCAATTTTTTTCCTGTTTTTTTCCCTAAGGGTTTTTTGGTTCTGGCTTTATGTTCATGTCTTTATTTTCCAATTTAAAAAAAAAAAGATTATAGCCCTTCTAGTAGGGATGAAGTAGAACTTCATTGTGGTTTTTATTTCTGTTTGCCTGTTGACTGAGGAGGTCTTTATACATACTGAATGCCAGAGTTTCATCAGATACTATTTACAAATATTTTGTCCCATTTTGTAGGTTATCTTTTCAGTTTTTGAAAATGTACTTAGATGCACGGAGGTTTTCAGTTTTGATGAAGTTTAATTTATCCTTTTTCTTTTGTTGCTCATGCCTTTGGTATCGTCTCTGAAAATTTGTGGCCAGATTGATCTGTTTTGCGGTAATTTTGTGTATAGTGTGAGGAAGAGGGCCAACCTCATTCTTCTGCATGTGGATATCCAGTTGTCCCAGCAACGTTTATCAAAAAGACCATTCTTTTCCCACATTGAATGGTCTTGGCCCCCTCTTGAAAATCATTGAACATAAATATGTGGGTTCTTTCTGAACTCTCAAAACTGTGACATTACTGTGTGTACACACACACACACACACATTCTTGATATATATGTATATATATCTCACACACATACACACACACACACTTAATGCCAGTATCACACAGGTTTGATTACTCTAGGTTTGTAGTGTGACTCTTCTAATTTTATTTTTCCTGTTCTTTTGGCTCTTTGGGCCCCCATGTAATTCCATCTGAATTTTAGGATCAGTTTATCCATTTATGTAAAAAAAAAAAAGAAAAGGCAGTTGAAATTTTGGCAGAGATTGCACAGAATCTGTAGGTTGATTTGTGTCATATTGCCATCTTAACCGTAGCGAGTCTTCTGTGACAATGGGGCGTTCCGCTTAGACTCGTTACTAGTTTCAACACTGTTTTGTGGCTATTAGTGTACAAATCTTTACACATCCTTTGTTACACTGATCTCTAAAAGTTTTATTCTTTTGATGCTGTTATAATGAAATCACTTTGAGTTTTGTATATGGATCTTGTGTCCAGCAGCTTTGCTGGGCTTATTATCTCTAAGAGGTTTTTGGATTTTTTTCATTTTGTTTTGTTTTTTGTTTTTTTTTTTTTGTGGGGGATAGGTCTGGGTTGTTAGGGTTTTCTGTATGTAAGGTCATGTCATCGTTGACTAGAGATAGTTTTATTTCATTCTTCACAATCTAGGTGAGATGATCAAGTGCTTTATTTCCCTTTGTTCTATTAGTTCTTAGTATTTTAATGATTGTTTTTTCTTATATTGAGCTACCCTTGCATTTCTGGAATGAATCTTACTTTGCCATGTTTTATAGTCCTAGTATGCTTCTGGATTTGATTTGCTAGTGTTTTGTTGAGGATTTTTGTGTCTCTGTCCATAAGGGTTAAAGGTCTGTGGTGAATTTATTATTTAGTTATCTTGTGGTGGCTTTAGTATAAGGTACTACTGGCTTCACAGAATGACTTAAGTATTCTCTCCTCTATTTTTGGGAAGAGTTTAAGAAGAGTTGACTTTGATTTTTCATTATTTCTTTTTCCTTAGATTCACTTAGCCAAGGCATAGTATATCATTGGTTTTTGATACAATGTTCAATGATTTATCAGTTCAGTATACCACCCGGTGCTCATTTTTCTTTAAATATTTGGTAGAAATCACCAATGAGGACTTCTGGTCCTGGGATTTTCTTTCTGGGAAGTTGTTAAATCCTGATTCACTCTGTTTATTTGTAGGTCTAGTCAGATTTTCTGTTTCTTCTTGAGTCCGTTTTGGTGGTTTGTGTATAAGAATTTGTCCATTTCATTCCAGGTTATCTAATTTATTGTAATATAATTTTTCATAGTGTTCCTTTATTCTTTTTATTCCTGTACAGTTGGTGTAATGTCCTCTCCTTCATTCTTGAATTTAGTAATTTGCATCTTCTTTCTTTTTGTCTTGGGTTGGTCTGCTAACAGTTTGTCAGTTTTGTCAAAAGAATCAAATTTTTGGATTTGTTTTTTTCTCTATTTTTTATATTCTCTATTGCAATTATTTATGCTCCAATTTTTATTTTCTTCTGCTTGATGTAGGTTTAGTTTACTCTTTATCTAATTTTTTTAAAGCTTTTATTCATTTATTTGAGATAGAGAGAGAGAGAGTGCAGAGGGAGAAGGAGAGACAGAATCTCAAGCAGACTCCACGCGGAGCATGGTGCCCAATGCGGGGCTCAGTCTTCTGACCCTGAGATCATGACCTGAGCTGAAATCAAGAGTTGGACCCTTAAATGACTGAGCCACCCAGGGCCCCTATCTAATATTTTGATGTGAAAGGTTAGGTTGTTGATCTGAGACTTTTTAAAATGTCAATGTTTACAGCTAGAAATTTCCCCTCCAGCACTGCTTTCACAATAACATAAGTTTTGGTATGTTTTCTTTTTCATTCACCTCAAGGTATTTAACAATTTGCCCTGTGATTTCTTCTTTGACCCATTGATTCAAGTCTTCCTTTCTGATTTTCTATCAAGCTGTTCTATCTATGATTGAAAGGATGGTATTGAAATCTACAACTATTATTGTCAAATTACCTATTCTTTGATTTTTGCCTTTTTTTTTGCTGCTTGTATTTTGGGGCTTGGTTGCTGGGTGCGTATATGTTTAAAATTTTATCTTCCTGCTGCATTTATCTTTTCATGATTACAAACTGTCATTCTTTGACTCTTGTAACTGTGTTTTTCTTGACATGTGTTTTATCTGGTAGTGCCATAGCTCCTCCGCCTCTCTCACAGTTGCTATCATACTTTTACCCGTCTTTTTACTTTCAACCATTTTCTACTTTTGCTCTTAAATTTCCTTTACTACTTCTAATAGTAGGAACAGTTACACCAAAGTCTTGATGTCTAAGGAAAGAAACTATTAGAAAACCGTTGCATAGTATACTGTGTGTTAGGAGTGAAAGAAGTCTGTATTTTTAGAGGAGTCCAGTTACGCTGAAAAACCCAATAGTTACGGAGTAATAACCATGCTTATATGAACTATTTTGTCGGTATTATACTACTTTCAGTTCATAAGACACTCCCACACTCTCCTGGGAACATAATCTCGGTCCATCCCTGGGCAGTGTTATTTATGGTTATGGTGCCAGGTTGATAGTGGTGGAAACCAAGGCCTGAAGCTCCCACGGGTCGTGCCCAAGCTCTGGAACCCCCCAGGCCATGGGGTCCGTCCTATCCAGCAGATCGAGGCTGAACATCTCGCCCCATTAACCTTCAGGTCCCTTGTGGGACCGTGTCTGCCTTACCACCAGTCCTCTGAAGGAAAGTGAATGGAACCGGTCTCTCATTTAAACCTTGTACATTCCACTGTCATGCTCACAGGGGTTGTCAGAGGCCTTAGAGGGGCCTCAAGGACTAAGACAAGGGCACCATAGTCCTGATGTGACATCCCTGAGCCGTGAAGTGGCTGCTGTATTTTGTTACTAAATGTGTTCCCATGCTGTACCCTTTCTCCATTTTAGCACGATGGGACCATGGCACCACAACCAAGAGGCCAGGAACAACCAGAGCTCCGCCAAAGCCTGCAGGTAATACAGCCCTCTAGGGAGGGCAGTAAAGAAGGGTGCTGTAGAGCTCGCTTTGGGGCAGATGTCTGAAGAGCTACCTGTGCTTTAACCGTTTGACTTTCTCGTGTATATTTTGGGGGCCCACTGCAGAAGACGACTTTGACTTGGCTGACGCCCTGGATGACCGGAATGATCTAGACGACGGCCGCAGGAAACCGAGCGCTGGGGGAGGGGGTGAGTCAGAGCTGACCGCGCGCACCGGGCCGCACGGCGGCTCCCTGGCCAGAGCGTCGCTCGTTCACCGCGGCGACCCGCAGAGCCCCCCGGGCCCGGCTGAGCTGGGAGCACTTCGAGGCATAGGCGAAAACCCTAAATAGTAGTTCACAAACGTTTTGGTCCCTGGACTCCCAGAATCATCGGGGATTTCAAAGGCTTTTGTTGCTGTGTACATTTCGTGCACATTTCTCTGTCGAAGCAGAAGAGCTAGGCTGGCTCTGTTTCCAGATTCCGCTGTAATGGGTTGTGATGGCCGACGTGTATGAAGGAAATCTGGCCTCATATAAATAGGCAGTTGGAAAAGGAGTATTTTAATTGACTTTCTAGATCATTGTTGTAGATATTCTTCATTGTTAAGACACCCAGACCCGGCTGGTGGCGGGTTTTTACTGTTTCAGTGCAGGGCGGCATGTGAGACCGTATCAGTGACCTTTTCATACTTGATTCCATTAAACCCTCCAGCACTTGCTTGGACTTTCAAGGGAATGTTTACCCATTCGTGGTTTTATATATTGTGCATTGGTCATTTGGAAATCCTGGTGTCCTGAGCTCTTTTGAAGTTCCAGATAGTGCCATGTCTCATTTGTTAACATCACCCCATCTCCTTAGATCAAGTCTTAAGTGTTGGGAGGCTGCTGAGCTCACAGGGGTGGATATAGGTTTTTTAAAAATTCTAAGTTGTGTTTGAAATCTTACCATTGGCAACAGACTCTGCCAGTGGTTTTCTTTGCAGTGACAGCCTCATTTCATTCATTTTCAGGAAAACATCTGCCAAATATTCAAGCTCTTTTCCATTTCCTCACGTAGAACATTAGAGTTGTGTACTCTGTGGTTGAGCCAGAATCCAGTGTTCTCTTTCCTTGTGTTACTTTTCTGTTACCTCATAATGAATGATCACAAGCTTACCGAGTGAAGGCAGCACCCACTTACGGACTCACAGTTTCCTTTGGTGAGTGAGGAGTTCGGGAACAGGGAATCTGGGACATCGTGACATCACGATGTCGGCCCGTCCTGGTCTTCTCTGAGCTGGCGTTCTCTTCCACATTGATGTGGCGCTTGGCAGAGTACATTTCCTTGCGGTTGTAGAACTGATGGAGAAAGACAGAGACCGGGGAGAGCTGGGAGAGGAAGCCTAACTCTGTTGCTCCTGGTGTCTCAGCTCAGGAAGGCCTGCTTGAGTCAGGCCCACCGAGGATAATCTCCTTTATGATTCAGGCAAAGCCAAACTGATTTGGGACCTTAATTACATCCACAACATCTCGTCACCTCTGGCACCTCATATAACCCAATCACAGGGGGGATAGTCACCTTGTTCATGGTCCCACTCAACGCTCTAAGTGTATTTCTCAAAATTTCTGAAAAATGTATTGTGGTAGTGACATTCCTATTTTGTTTTCTCCAGGTTTTTCAGACAAGGATCTTGAAGACATATTAGGCGGTGGTGAATACAAACCTGACAAAGGTGAGATTACGAAAACTGATTTGTCCTAACCCCTCAGTCTCATTACAAATGTGATTACGTGGTGACCAGATTAATTGAGCCTTTTTTACTGAGCCTCTGGGTTAGAAGAGGTCATTTCCAAGCATCCTGCTTAGAACTCGGAGGGCTCGCTTGGAATCATGTGGGCTGTGCAGCTCAAAGGAGGGGGGCAGTTCATAAGCCAACTTGGAAAAGCCACGTGGTCCCCCTGGTGCTCCCAAGGCAAGGGGCCACGTGGCTAGCATGTCCATCCCAAGCCGGAGCCAGTGACTGGGATCCACCGCCGCCCCCAACCTGGGGCTCCTCTCACCCTTGGGTTGGGAAGAGCAAAGCTCATCATGACAAGCATTTTTTAGGAGACCCATAGGAAGTCTGACATCTTTTAAAATATCTTTTTAGTTTAAAATAGTTTAGAACACAGGGAGCCCGACTGGCCCAGTCTGTAGAGTTGTGCCACTCTTGATCTCGGGGTTGTGAGTTCGAGCTCCACTTTGGGAATAGAGATTATTTAAAAAATATTTTAAAAAAAGGTTTAAAATTCACAAGAAGTCAGAAAAATTATGCAGGAGAATTTCTGTGTGCTCTTCACCCAGCGTCCCCTGAAGGTCGCTATTGAGCTTTTGTAACCGTAGTATGTTGTCAAAGCCAGGAAGCTGGCAGTGGTACCGGCTGTGATTAAGTCACATACAGACCCGATGCACGTGACATCAGCTTCTGCATGTACCCGTGTGTCCGTGCACACACATGCGGGTCTATGAAATTTCATCGTGGGTGTAGATTTCAGTGCCCACACCCAGTCAGGATGCTGAATACGGAACTGTTTCATCACCACAAGGAAACCCCCTCATGCTAGCCCCTCTTAGTCATGCCCTCTCCCTCCCCCCAAAATCACCAAAGATTTAAACCTTTTATCCTAATACACATCAAGATCTGATCCTACAGTGAAGAGAATCAGCCAGATTGGATGTGTCAAAATAAGTTATGATTGGAATTCGTGATTGTTACTTGTGGTGGCTGCCTGTTTTGATGGTATGTTGTGATTGTAACTTGTAGTTACGATGCTGAGTTGTTATGGTTGTGACCGGTGTGATGGCAACGCATTGTGGCAGGTTGTGGTCATGACTTACCGCGGTCATGTGTGAATGAGTGAGGAGTGTGTCCATTTGGGACCCTGCTACGCTCCCCATGGTCCTGGCGGTGGCATTAGCATAGTTCTTGTGGAACTATGTTCTCTTCCGAGTAAAGGATACTATAGTCACATCTGTCCTTCAAAACACCTTTCCAGACAATGTCATCTTGAATAAAAAGTTCTAAAAGCCACTAAATGAAACTCACAGGTGTCAAGAGAACATGGAACATTTAAAGGGCAAACCCAGCAAATTGGCCAATTACTCCTGGGTGACAAATGGTATTTCCAGATGGTGAGATGCGGGCAGCAGTAGCGAGTGGGATGGAAGGCTGGATGGCACGTCGGGGGCTTCCTTATTATCAGTACATGTTTTAGTAAGGAGGAAGTGTTGGGAAATTCTTTAATTAGGCTCATGTTTGAACTTCTCATCGAAAGAATAATCAATTGTTAGCTTAAGTTATACCCTCCGTTGTTAAAAGCATCATTAAAAGAAAATAAAGGGGGTCCCAGCAGAAAATACAAGTGTGAGCCTGGTCACACATGGTCATGAGCACACGATGAAATTCTTAGATATTCTCCTCTGTGCAGACATGCTAATGCTGTGTGTGCAGGTAAAACTTCCTATTTCAATACGCGATGATCGTCAGCATAAAAAAAACGATCCTCACTAATGTATTTTCCAACTTTGGGTCTCAGGCTCGTACACTAGACTCAACTATAGTTTTGGAGTTTGTTTTTGAAATAATGCATTATGTTATATAGGTTTTTTAATCAAGAAAATATTTCTGTTGGCCTTGCAAGAGTGCCCCATGTTTTGCTTGTAGGTGATAGGGACGGTCTCTTTTCAACAGGTCCCACCAGCTGCCTCCATACCCTAGCATTTTCACCCAGTGAGAAGCTTGAGGCCAATCCGTTTTAAGTCCTCTGTCTCCTCTGGGTCCACACCTCAGTGTCCCTAGTGACTTTCTGACGGTCCCAGCTCTCTGTCCCGTGTGGCCTTTGCAGTATTTGGCTTCGATGTCTGTCTGCCACTTCACATTCTTTTCTCCCTGCTCCTCCTGGCCCTCTCCTACTTTCTTGGTCTCATTCCCTTCTTCCTGCATGCTGTTGCCTGCTGGGAAGGTCTCCCCGGGCGTCCGGTTCCGTAGATCGTTGCCTCCCTCACCGGAAGTGATCGCCATTAGAAGGAAAGATCTGCGTGTTGAGTGTGTTCGTGACTTAGTGGAATGGCGCCACTTTTCTACCCTTTAAGTGGGCAGGAGCAGGCAAGTAGTGCGTGGTTGTCCACTAAACCGCGCGTGCGCAGGCGTCTGGGATTACCCGGTTCGTCAGCATTTATACGGACCTACAGGTGAATGCGCACCTGCTCTCCAGCGGTGTGATCTGGCGCCCCAGGCTTGCTTTAGGCATCCCTTTCCTGCTTCTCCGTGACCGGGAGAAACCTAACGTGTGTCTGCGATTTGCGTCCTTGCTCAATTCTGGTATCAGCCTGTACCTCTCTGAGGAACATCTTCACCGTTGAGAGCACAGCATTCATGTTGAAATCCTTTGGTCTTTCCTTATAGTTCCCAGTCAGAGCAGCCTTTGGTCGGCTCCTCAGTCCCTCCTCCCTCGTTCCTCCGGCAGCGACATCCGGTTGTCACAGCCCGCATCCCGTCCTGGGCTTGCCCGCGCACCTATTCCATGTTTCCTTTCGTTCTTTTGCTTGCATACGTTCAAGTTCACTCTTCGTGGTGGACAACTGTGTGGGTCATTACAGATGCACTTGGTCACGTGTCCACCACCCAAGTACCGTACAGAACCGTCCTGTCACCATGAACGTTCTTCCGACTCCTCCCTGGTACTCAGCCGCTCTCCCTTCTTCAGCCCTAATCTGTTTCCTATTAGTGTAACCACTAATCTGTTTACCTTCCGCATAGTTTTGCCTTTTCCTTAATGTCCTGTAATTGGAATCGGGCGCATGTAGCCTTTGCGGACGGACTTCTTTCTCTTAGCGATGTGCATTGAAGATGGCCCCATGTCTTTTCATGGCTTGACAGTGTATTTCTTTTTAGCATTGAATCGTATTCTGTTGTCTGGATGGAGCACTTTTGGTTAGCTGTTTACCTGTTGGTTGCATCTGATTTTTGATGATTGTGCATAAAGCTGCTGTAAACATTTATAAACGCATATAGGGTTTTTTTCTTCATTTGTGTTTCCCTTCTGAGAGGTGATGTTGAACGTCTTCTTCAGTAAAGTCTGTTGAGATTTTTTGCTCTTATAAAAAACAAATCAGGGGCGCCTGGGTGGCTCAGTGGGTTAAAGCCTCTGCCTTCGGCTCAGGTCATGATCCCAGGGTTCTGGGATCGAGCCCCACATCGGGCTCTCTGCTCAGCGGGGAGCCTGCTTCCTCCTCTCTCTCTCTCTCTGCCTGCCTCTCTGCCTACTTGTGATCTCTGTCTGTCAAATAAATAACTAAATAAAATCTTTAAAAAAAAATAAAAAAAAAACAAATCAGGGTTTTTGCTTTTACGAGTTCTTTATATAATCTGGGTACAAGTCCTTTATCAGGTATATGATTTTGAAAATATCTTCTCCCTGTTCTATGGCTGTCTTTTCCTTTTGTTAATAGTATTGTTTATTGAATGTTTATTTCTTTATAAAGGTCAGTTTATGAGTTTTTTCTTCTATGAATCATGTTCTCGTGTTTAAGAACAGTCAGGGTCATGGAGGTTTCTTCCCTATGTCCTCTAAAAGTGTTATAGTTTTAGCTTGTACATTTGGGTCCTTGCTGCTCTGTTTTGAATTAATGTGTATATGGTGTGAGATAGGGGTTCAGCTTTATTCTTTTGCGTGTGGATACCCAGTCGTGACACCACTTGCTGATGACCTTATCCTTTCCCCACTGAACTTTCTTGGCTGCTTTGGTGAAAATCAGTTGACCATAAGGATAAGGTTTTGTTCCTGGACTCAGCCAATACCACAGTGTCTCTTCTGGGCGTGTGCTCGGCGTCAGGGCAAGCAAGGCTCCGTGGAGGGTTTATTAAGTCCCGTGTGGTTGTCTTACCTCTCCACCTCCTTTTTAAAACCCTGGCAAGGTAGGTGACTGGTGACTTGCTTGGGCCAAAGGAGCCACTGGCTCTCCTTGTTTTCCTTGCCACTGAGATCACCACATGTAGCTGACCGTGCTCCAAGCCACACGGGTCCCTCTGGCAGCTGGAGGGCAGTTGCTGGCTTTTCTGGCCTGTCTGCCCCTCTGCCGTCAGACTAGCTGCTGGAAGACCTTGGGGGCGGAGGGCCACAGACTCCAGTTCTTCCCGACAGAACTAGATCTGTTTCCTGTCTTGGCTGCCTCTAATTGTCTTGGGTTATAGTTGCTTTTTTTTTTAATTTTTTTTAAGATTTTATTTATTTGACAGAGGGGGAGAGATCACAAGTAGGCAGAGAGGCAGGCAGAGAAAGAGAGAGGAGGAAGCAGACTCCCCACTGAGCAGAGAGCCCGATACGGGGCTCGATCCCAGGACCCTGGGATCATGACCTGAGCTGAAGGCAGAGGCTTTAACCCACTGAGCCACCCAGGTGCCCTATAGTTGCTTTTTGAGGAAAGGATTTGTTGACCTCCTCACTCAGTCATGCCAGAAGTCCTTTCCCCAGTATCGTTTGAATTTGGAATCTTCTCTTAGGTTCCTCTCAAGCCCAGGCTCACATCCCCTCCCCTCTTGGGTTGTTACCTTAACCTCTTAACTGGCCTCCTGGCTCCAGAGAGAGCACCCAGGAACACGGAACTGCTTTCATGTCAGTCCTTTGATAAAACTGTTGTGTACTGATGAAAAGACAGGACAGTTAAAAAGCGAGCATAAGATTTGAACAGACACTTTATATAGAAGGAAATTATATGAAGATGTTCAAAGTCATTATTCATCGGGGAAAGACAAATCCACGATGAACTACCACAACACACCCACTGGAGTGGCTAAAATTAGAAAGACTGACAATACCAAATGTCGGTGCAGATGTGGGTTAACTTAAACTCTCCCGCAGTGTTGGTGGGAATGGAAAGCTTCTTAAAATACTGAACATAGACCTACCCAGTGACTCAGCAGTCTCACTTCTATTCCAGAGAAATGAGAGCTTCTGTTCAAAAAAAGACTTACAAAGAATATTCATAGCAGCTTTATTTATAATAGCAAAACAAAAACAAAAAGCTGGGAGCAGCCCAAGTACCAGCAGCAGAATGAATAGACAAATTGTGATATATTTATATATTCACATGACAGAACAAATTACCAATATAAAAACATGGGTAAATGTCAAAAATGTTACACTAAGTGAAAGAAGTCAGTGAAAAGAGAACACATACTATGGGCCCAATCATACGAAATTCTGATACTTGCAAAACTCATCTGTAAAATTAGAAATGAGATCAGTGGCTGCCGGGGTTGGGATGTGGACAGGGATCAACTGGGCAGGAACACAGAAGAACTTTCTGGGGTGGCGATGCTCTTGTACATTTTGGTGGAGGGACGGGTTTCGCATGGGTCTGCATCTGCCAAAACTTACAAAATGGTACACGTAAGATTTGTGTGTTTTACCATACGTAAATTTTACCTTAAAAAAGGGCATCTTAAGCAAACGTGGAACGGAGGTCATATATTACGTTTAGGGGTTGCGAGTACAGATGTCTGTGACTGCCTTTGAAATGCAACATAGAAATAAGAGAAACTGATGAAAGGCTGGAGGGGTGGACCAGGCAGACAGACAGGCAAATGCTATAGAATTTAGAGGGTGGGTAGGAGTGTTCACAGTCTGGCATGAGCAGCGTGTTCCTTTCGTCTGCAAACCCCAGACAGCTGCTTCTCTGTCTAAAATGCTGTTCTTCCTCCCTATGAATTCCTGCTCATTTTCTGGGGAGTGCTAAGCTCCCCATCCGTTAATAGATGGTCACCTCCATTCTGGAGGCTCCAGCACTCTGTGGTCGTCTGTAGCCTGGCCTGGGATGGCCCTCGGATGTGACAGCCCCATCCTTCCCTCGTCCTCCTCGGACTCCTGTCATCATGCGCGCGCAGGCCAGCACGCACCGTGCTCAGTCACACACTTTGACTCCTGCTGCGTTTGGCTTGTGTATCCCTCGCACTGCAGTGTTTGCGGAAATGAGGGGCCTGAAAGGGAGCAGACCCTCTCATGCATGCCTCCCCATGAGGGGAAGAGGGACACAGCTGATGGGATCGGCTGATGACCCTCTGGGCCACATTTGTGCTGGGGTCATGGCATGAAACGCTTAGTCCTGGACCCCAAAGGGCCCTCCGGTAAGTGCATTCTTAGAGGCCGTGAACTCTGTGGTCCAGTGTGTGAACCCAGCTTTCCCCCAGGGGAGCTGCAAGGGGTATTCATGAGAGGGAAGAGGACGAACGGGAAGCCCTGGCCTTGCTGGTGCTGGCGTGCTTGTCTACCCCTTCAAGAAGCCAGTGCTTTGCCGGATCTTCCTCTGGCTCCTTGCATCTGTTCTTAGTCCGGAAAGGATCTGGAGTGGAGGGTGAGGTGTCAGCACCCCCAGACCACCCACCCTGGTGTGTTGTCCAAAACCCCTTGATAAGCCGACCCCAGGAATCCACTGGGAATGGGAGGGGAGAGTGGGCTAGGGCCACTGGCTGGTGCTTGCTTGTGTCCGGGGTCACAGCATTTCCATTCTTGGGAGGGGGGTTCCTGAAAGATGGTCGGGGACAGCAGCTATGCAGTGGTGCGGCTGGAGGCTGAGCTTTCTCCTCTCGGAGGAAAAGGAAAAGTCCTTTTCCTTCTTTATTTGCTTTTAACTTTTTACTTTTCATTTTGCATTTCTGCTGTCTGTCTTCTTAGAATGAAAGCAAATTTTTACGAAACCTGAACGTCCCAGTTGTGGCTGTTGGAAGAGGAAATGACTTACGAGAAACCTTAAATACTTGAATGTCCCCCGCCCCAGCACTTCTAGATAGAGTGTCCGCAGTGTTCCGTGACTGTCAGGTGTGTCAGGCACTCAGTGTGAGCCGTGGGCTGTGCTGTTGTCCAAGAAGGGCAGATCCGTGCCCCACGTCCCTGCCTCCCAGGAGTGTGGCTGCAGTGGGCTGAAGCCGGACGTGTGCGTGGGCGCTGCTGCCTTCTGCGCTTGAGGGCGCTCTGGGTCTGGCACTTCTGCCCACGACAGGGCCTGTCTGGGACCTCCTCGCCGAGGTACTGCCACCTCTTCCAGCATTCTCCGCAGGCACAGTGCCCACGATGGCTGTGGGGGCTCTTCTAGCTGGGGGCAGGGCGCCGCGCCGCGATGGGGGTGTATCGGCTTCTGGACGAAAGCAGATGGCGGCGGGAGGTAGGCTGCACGGGGCAGCTTCTAGTACGAGAGGGCGGCTCTGGTCTCTGGTTTGTAATATACTGAGCCCAGAAGGCAGGTGGGGATGCAAACCTTAGCATCCTTGAAAATGGAGATCCTGCCAGCGACCTGTGGAATAGTTTCTTGGAGCTGTCCCGCCAGTTGTGGGGAAAACGGGCTGGTGTATTAAGCCTTTCTCATAAAGTTTATGAAAATCCTCCTTTATCGTTTCACCATCTAGGGAGGATCACCAGGAATACTTAGGAGTACATGCTTGCAGTAATTTTTCTCTAGATTATATTACATTTGTAAATATTTTTATAAAAATGGGACCATGCTGCTTTTTTAAAACCAGTTTTTATTCAGTAGGACCCTGAATATCTTTCTCAGTCATTAAGGAGTACTCTAAAATACTGTGTTAATGACTGCATGATATTATACCATAATTTATTTAATCAGTACCTGTTTTGAGAGGTCTCTCCCTGCGGCTGTTTACTGCTCTGATAAACCTCATCAGAGCCAAATACAGAAAACCGTCATTGTTTGTCAGCTAAGTTTCTGGATGTTGACTTGCTGAGTCACAGGAAGTATAAAGTGTAAATGATGCGACTCTTCCAAGGGTACTGTCCCCTCCTGCTGCTGTTGGCTCCTGTCCTCCCCGTCCCCGAGTATCCTAGTTTTGTTATCTTTGTAAATTTCATCGCTGTACAATGCTATCCTGTTGGCGTCGGTGTTCCTTTGACTACAAGAGCTGTGAAACACTTTTTACCTTTAGTGCTTATTAGACCCTCTTCATATATCGTGTTGAATTGCCTGTTCGCATCTGTTGCCCAAATTTTTTTTGTTCCTTTTACTGAAGTCTGCATCTTTTCTTGTCAACTTGTATAGTCTGTACATGGGACAGTCTTGCAGCTCCCGATCGTACAGATTGTGATGTTCAAGACTTGAGGTGAAAGTAAAGGGAGGTTGAACTTCTCAAAGATGTCTGGAAATCTGATGTGAGCACATAGGCAGAGGACGCCTTGGAGGGGCGTGCCCCGCTCCTTGGCAGTGGCCACATCCAGCACAGCAGACGGGACCACCGACAGGCCAACGGATGCGGTCAGACTCCGGGTCCTCACAAGCGACCTCGTTGCTGACCTGCCGATACACACAGGACCCTGTGTCCTCCTCTCTGCCTGGTGCTCCCTTCTCTCCGCTCGGTGCTCCCTCCTCTCTGCTCGGTGGTCCCTCCTCTGCCCTGGTGCTCTCTGATAGCACTGACTGTGCTTTTGAAAAAGCCAGTGCTGGTTTTTCTGTAAATAACCATTCCTACCCAATTGGGGACCCAATCCTCGCTAACTTGAGGATTCAGCACTAAGTGGGAACATAACAAACCTTATTTTCTACCCCTACCCCCACACTTTAAAACACAGACTTCATTTTTCAGAGCAGTTTTAGGTTGGTTCACAGCAAAATGCTCCCTGCCCCCCACACCCACAGCCTCCCCTGGTCCCGACACCCGCCATGAGAGGGGCGCGTGTGTTGCAGTCCACGAACCTACACATCCCCAGGCTCCGATTGGCGAAGGAAGCGTCACAGTTCATTGCCTCCTTCCAGTTTAGTCACCGCAGGGCCCTTTCAGAGTCCCACTGTCTCCTTCCCTCCCCTCCTCCACCCTAACCCCAGCCACCCACTGATCTGTCCTAGAGCCTTTCAGATTTCAAAATACTGGATCGGGGATGGCCAGCCTCCAGTTGCTTTTGTGCTCCTGCGTAGCTGTGTACCTCCCTGTTTGTGTACACAAATGGAAACATCTGGATGGGGAGAAAAGCGTGTGAAGCGCCAGGAGTCACGTCGATTGAAATATCCACTGCAAAATCTCTCTGGGTGGTGGAGTTATGAGTTGCTTTTCTGCTAGTCGTCGTCGTCGTCTTTTTTTTTTTTTTTTGAAGTTTCATAGAAGCATTTTTTGCAATGAGATAAAGAATCTGGACTTCCTACAAGAGACAGTACGGCCATGGGCTACGGGTAGTGCGAGCATCCAGAAGGAGGTTCTCCTGGCATGGGGCCAGCTCTGCCACCTGCTGGCAAGTCCCTCACCGGCGAGCCCACCCCCTGCCCTGGAGGATGAGGATGCTAGGCGCACCTGCTTCACCGCGCCACAAAGTATCCCGTGTATGAAGAGCTGGGCTAGAACACGTGCTCGGGCACAGTCACTGTCATTTTACAAATGAGTTGTACCTTGTGGCCTGGGCTTTGCAGTTGGTAGGCATAAGGAAGCAGGTCTTGCAGAGTCAGGTAGAAGCCCACTGGGGATTTACTGGAAGGTGTCGGGGGGTGGGGCTATGGGAGGCTGTCCGCAAGCTGGGAGGTCACAGGCTCACGGCTTTTGTCCTTTTTCCAGGTGATGGGCGGTATGGCAGTGACGACTCAGAATCCGGTGGGTTTGTGTCCTGAGGAGACTTTGTGCTGGCAGCAGAGGGATACAGGGATTTAAAAGAATTAAGCATGAAAATTGAGGTCCCCGGGAAGGTGGTCCCATGAGAAGCCTGCTGGCTTGAGACCCCAGCTTCCCAAGGTGGAAATCCTTATGGAAAACGAGAAGCCCTTGGCAGATGCCTTAGTTAGAAGTGGCTTTGCCCTGTCACTCTGGCCTGGGGGGCACAGGCGTTTGAATGAGCTTAGCTTGGTGGGGGGAGAAGAGCCCGGCGCTGGAGCTGATCTCGTGGGGCTGTCGGCCTGGTTCCACGTCTCTTCACACCCTCCCCCCGCCGCCTTTTGCCTAGGAGTGTCGGCCGAGGCTGGCACCATCGCGGGTGTGGCCAGTGCCCTAGCCATGGCCCTGATCGGCGCGGTCTCCAGCTACATCTCCTACCAGCAGAAGAAGTTCTGCTTCAGCATCCAGCGTAAGTGCAGCCACGCTGTGGCCTCCAAACCCAGCGGCCAAGGTCTTGCAAGGGGGGAGGGGCAGCAATGGGGGCACGATTCCGGTCCATTCCATAGCCTGCCCAAGACCGACTCCTGGGTAGGCTTTCTGCAGCGGACGGGCCAAGGCCAGACTGCAGTGTTTCCGTGAGCAGCGCCCAGGAAATGTGGACATGTGTGTTACACAGAGCAGAGAGAGCCTGGGGTCTCCGTCCGGCTTCAGGCCTCACCTGCTCATGCTGCCGGCCTCCTTGGGGGCACAAGGCAGCAATCTGGGGGCTCCGAGAGCCAGCGCACCGCCACCACGATGACGCACTTTGAAGAGGCAGGGAGGCAAGGGGCCGAAGAGAGGGTGAGGTTTGCACTCCCTGCCTGCCTGCTTTCATTTTACACTGTTGCTGGGGGCATCTCAGTTGTAAGCCAAATAGTGACAGAGCCCCATCTTCCCAGCCGGTAGGGACCTGGCGAAGGGGAGCAGGAAGGGTACCCCCAGTCGTGTCACCAGCACAGCTTTGCTGTGCCACTGCTTGCTGATGGAGTGTCTCTGGGACTGGGAATTTTTAGTTCAAGTGAGAGGGCCTGGCTCAAGCATGATTTTCCTCTTTCCTGACGCTTAGGAGCATCTCATGTGAGGCTCCACCTCCCTGCCCTTTCTCTGGGTCTTGGCTTCTGCCCTAAAGTCTAACCCGGAGGCCAACAAATGAGCTTGGGCCCCAGAATGCTTGGATGTGGGTAATGCAGAAGTCTCCACCTCTTCGTTCCTCTGGCGATTATATTTGCTTTCTTAGTCTTGGACAACGTTCTTGACCAGGGCCACCATGTACAGTTACACAGGCTATGTGCGGCAGTACTCCAGGGGCACCATTCATATTTCAGTGCACAACCTGCACAACTGTTCATGGTCACCCTGCTCGAGATCCTGTTTGACCCACTGTGGACCCACAAGCCTTACCATAGAGTGGTGTGAATAGGGAGGTGTCAAGAAGAGGTAGGGAACTGGAAGGTGGATTGTCCTTAGAGTTCTCTCTTGCCCAGTTCAAAAGCAAAGAAAAGGAGTGGCTTATGACAGAATCTATTCTGTCAGAGTTCTGGAGGCCAGAAGTCCAATATCAAGGTATCGGCAGTGTTCGTGCCTTCTGGAGGCTGTAGGGGAGGATCCTTCCTTGCCGCCTTCAGCTCCAGGTATCCCTTGGCTTGTGACCCCACCACTCCAGTCCTTGCCTCCATAGGGCCTTTTCCTGTGTCTGTGTGTCTGCTCCTCTTCGAAGGCCACTTGTCATCGCAGGCAGGGTCCACCCTAGATCCAGGATCATCTCCTCTCGAGATCCTTTAATCACACTTGCAAAGACCATTTCCAAATAAGGTCACGTCCATAGGTGGTGGGGGCGGAGGACATGGCCACGCCTCTGAGGAACACCATTCCTGATAGGGAGATGCCCCTGATCCGCGCTTACTAAAGCCGGGCAGGAGGGCTCATATGCCGGGGCCCAGGGCTTGCAGCCCTGAGGAAGCATATTCGGAGAGAGTTACGGTACGAACAGCTTCCCAGCCACTGCCGAGCGCTAGATGTGGTGTCCCGCCCCGAGACCCCCGCCTCAGCGCCAGGGGCCAGGTTCAAGGGCACCCTGACTTTATCGACAAGGAAACAGAGGCTTAGAGGACTGCTGAAAGAATTGAGTTGAGATCCACAGGGGAGCCAGAGGCAGGGACAGGGAGGGCCGAGCAGTGAAGAGACCCTGGGTTGGGGGAGGAAAGTGAGGAGAAAATACCTCATTTTCACACTTGTTTTCTAAAACAGGTGTGAGGCTTTGCAAATCGGATTAGCAGGCAAAGCCAAAGAAAACATGAGACCGTGAAGGCCTTGGCATACGGTGTTAAATGATTTATGTGACATCTGAAGGAGAATAAACCAAAAAGGGGGCATTGAGGACAGCTGCAAGCCGTGAGCGCGTCTGTGCGAGGATGTCTTTCTGAGGGCAGCCCGGAGGTGCTGGCCAGCCCGCTGGTGGGGGAGGCACAGCCGGGGGAGGCAGGTGTGCTTGGGTGGCTACTGAGGGCTCCCCCTCTGCAGCCTCCCTCAGTCTGAGTGGGGGCCTCACCACCCATTTCTTTGGTCCCCATACCCCCTCAGCCTCTGGAATCTCACTGTCCGTCTGTCCACCTCCTAGTCCCCCACTTTCCCCTCTGTCAAAGATGTCCTTGTCATTGCTGAATCTGTGCTGTCCTGAGTCCCTTCCCTGGACACACTTGTGCAAGCATTGTCCCCACAGAAGGGAGCCGAGTATGGAGTATCCCCCGAATTTGACAAAGACCTCCCTTCCGTATCTGCGTCGGCACTATCAACGCTCTTCACAATTTGTTAGGTGTCTCCGCTCCTGTCTCAGAGTCCTCCCACATGAGTGAGGTCCCCCTCCCAGGGCTGGTGTCCCCTGCGCAGGTCTGCTCTGGGGCCACACCTCTCCGTCAGTGCAGCCATGGCCTCTGCCTGTCCGGGGCTGGGTCTCCCCATCCTCTATCGGGATGGTTCCATCAGTCTCCCGCCTGTCCCGCTGTCCCCATGCTTCTCTGTTTGGGGCAGCCCGAAGAGCGGCTCTGCCTGGACTGCCCATGTCCCCACTGCCCTCCAGGTCCTGGGCCTGATGCTGAGCTCGGCCATTCAAGGCCCTTCCTGGTTTGGCTCCAACCCCACCAGCAGCCCCTGTTCGCAGAAGCCACTCTCTGAGTGTGTCCTGCTCCTTCTGCTGTTCCTCCTCTCACCCAGCTGGTCTCACCCTTGGGCCCAGAGCACCCTCCCAGGAGGTCTTCTTGCCCTCCCAGCCTGTGAACTGTGGACACCCCTGCTTCGTGCTGCCACAGCGCCCCCTGCCGACCGGGCCTGGGGCCCTTGGGGCCGAACGAGGGCGCGCTGCCCTGTGTGGCAGCTTCATGGGTGGGGGAGGGAGGAGGCCAGGAGTGCGACATCCACAGATGTGTCCCTGGCACCCAGGCCGGGCAGGAATTAGGAGGAGCCCCATGGGTGTTTGTGGAGCAACTAGGCCCTGAGGAGCTGGGATTGGGACTTGCCATTCCTACCCTTTCTGCCAAGCCTCTGCCCAGAGTGGCCACGGCCAGCCCCGCGTGGAGGTGGCCTGTGTGCTGGGAAGCCCCAGGGAGATGGCGCGTGGCTACTGAGGGGGGCTGTCCCCCTTGCTTCCAGCCTTTACTGCCACTAGAGGGGCCCAGGCTTTGGGGACCCTCTGCTTTCCATCTCTGCCCTCAGCGATACAGTGTGATGGGGCCCGTGCATCTCGCAGAAGGCCCCTGTGGTCTGTTGCCAGGGTCCTAAGCTTTGTGTCTTGCCTTCAGATGCAGCAGAAGGTCAAGGTAATGACATGCTTCCACTTACTTTCCTCTTTTGCTTTGGCCGCAGTACGTCATTGTCATCGTGGACCCTCCCTGCCCGCTACTCCTGCTCCTCCTCCCCAAATCCTCCCTGCCCCTGGCGCTCACCCACTTGGCTGTGATCTCGATGGTTTTTAGCTTGCCCTGCTGTGTGTGGGAGGAGGCCGGTCGCCGGGCCTTATGTCTCTGGGCCCAGCGGGGCTGCGGCTGGGGGTTCCTATCTGGGAGGCAGATGCCTGCTGGCGGCCGTCACAGAGGAGCAGGCAGAAGCCTTCCCGCAGGCAGGGCGGCTGTGGTACAGTGATCCGGAGGCTCGGGTGCATCTCCCAGCCACCGGCGCTCAGGCAGGAGCAGCTTCCTCTGGCTCCCTCGCCTGCCTCAGTCCACAGGAATATAGCCCGGGGTGGCTGAGGGACTCAGTCTGTGCCTAGCGCTCAGTCCTTTGGTTGGTGAGAACCATGGCCCGATTTGCCCACAGGCTCAGGGCTCTGATAGGCTTGTAGCCCTCTGCTTATCCAGGGCTAGGACATGGACTCCGGACAACCCCCCAAGTAGCAGCAGGCTGGGTCTGCTCTGGATCCCAAGTGCTCGCTGACCTGAGTGCCAGCATGCAGAGGATGCTTTGAGGGTCCCCGAGCACCTCTGGGAAGTCAGTGGGGAGAAGGCCCATACAGCGGCCCGGAGCAGCTCCCTGCGGTCTGGGCCCTCTGCACACGGGGGTGCGGGTGGCACTTCTTCCCGGCAGCTGGAGGAGCCGGTGGCCCGAGGGTGCGGGTGTGACCAGGAAGCCCCCACCCTGGCTGGCGGGATGCTTGGCTGGCATCTCTGCCTGGAGCCCCGGCCGGCCGTCTGCCCCTCTGCAGCTGCATCTGTCCGTCCCTCGTGCGGCACCTGGCTTCCTCTCCGCCTCGCTGGATCCCGGGCTGGCATGCAGACCCGTGAGCGGTGCTGAGCCCGCTGCCGGGCCCCCAGGCTCCCATGTGGTGGCACCTGCCCAAGGGGGATGCGGGTCGGGGGCCTTTGCTGGGCGTCCTCTCTGAGGACTGTGACAAGAACCCCGGGGCTTGGCCGGGGGCCCCTCAGTTCTGTGTCAGCCGCCAGCTCTGCTCTTTGCCCTTTGCAGAGGGTCTGAATGCGGACTACGTGAAGGGAGAGAACCTGGAAGCCGTTGTGTGTGAGGAACCCCAAGGTGAGGCCTCACGGGCCCTTCTTGCCGCAGGGCTGCTGGCCAGAGGCATCTGTCGATTGAGTTTACGGCCAGAACAGGCGGCTGCCGGGGCCCAGGCGTCACTGCACTGTCCCCTGGAGCAGATTCGTTTCACGACATGGGCCAGGGACGCTGGTGGTGGGTCGGGCGCTTTCGTGCACTGTGGGGCCCCCGTGCCCTGTCGGAGCTGTGGGGAACCTGGAAATGAGGCCTGTGACTTTCTGTTTGGAAGGCTGCCTGCGGCCCAGAGGGGTGGCCTTCAACAAAGAGCCTCTCATGGGCCCTCCGAGTGCAGGGTGGCGGAGGGTGTTGTCACTGGGGCCAAAAGCGGCATCGGGATCGGGCCCGTGGCTTTGTCACGGGGGCAAATGTTGCTTAGGACGGGGATCGCGGTGCCACCCTGCACGGGCTCCGTGGCCCTGGAGGGGAGCAGATGGAAGCAAGCCACAGTGGCTTTTGCTAGAGTCGTTTCGAAGGCCCTGAGCCACCGCTCTGTGAGCACCCGCCACTGGCCGGTGCGCCTCACGAGGATTGCACCTACTTTACCCATGAGGAAATGGGCTGAACCCTTCCCAGGGCTTGTCTGCCTTCCTCCTGCTCTCCCGGGCCCGGGGTCGCCCTGACTGGGGACAGGGTGGCCTCTGGAGGGGAGGTTGGCCTGGAGAGGCCAAGCTGCCTCAGCCCCTGGGCAGGACAGACAGCCTCCTGCACACTGGGGAGCATGGGGAGGGCTCCCCGCCCCACGGAAGACCCCCCCCAGAGGGATATCTCCCCCGCAACGGACGTCTCCCCCCACCACAGAGCACTCCCTCCCCAATAGAGGTCTCCCCCTCTGACAGAGGACTCCCGCCCGCCCCCAGCCCCACCACGGAGGTCTCTCCCCCTCCCCATGGAGGACTCCCCGGCCCCAGAGGTCTCCCCGCTGATGGAGGTCTTCTCTCCCCAGTGAAATACTTGACGCTGCAGACGCAGGCTGCCGAGCCGCCGCCCCCCGATGCACCCCGGATCTGAGGGCCACTGCTCGCGACCAGCTCATTTCACCGTGACCCGCGGCTGCCCTGCTGCTTCTCTGACGTCATCGCTTCTCCTTCTAACTCCAGATGAGCTCGCGGGTGTGTGTGTGTAGTGTGTGTGTCGCATCTGAGACCCGGCTCCGGCGGAAAGCCGGCACCAGCCTCGGAGCCGCTGGATCACCGCACCCCCAAAGCCAGCCTGGCCCGGCCTGCGTGAGCTGGGGCTGTGGCGCCGAGGCGGCGGGGACACGCGGACTCTGATGTGCCCAGGATGGGAGTTTGAACCCAGGGTCGTGTGGGTCCTGGCAGGGACCTCAGCTAGCGCCTGGTTCGCTTGCAGCCCCTGCAAGGAGCGAATGAGTGAGCGTCGGGTCAGCATGCACACACACACACACGCACACACACTCTCCCTCTCACACACACGCACACCACCGGCTTTTGCACTGCCGGCCTTCCGGAGAGCTGGTGCACGTGGTGGTTTTCCGTTATTGAAGTGCATGCATTGATAGTCCCGTCCTGAGAGCTTAGGAACCTTCTGGACGAGTAGGAGGCTGTGACTCTGGGGCCTGATTCCTCTGACTCCATAGGGGCCTGGGTGTGGCCTCCTGGCTGCCATGATTAGCTTTTAGGAATGTGCGTCCCCCTTCCACCCTGTACATGTGCCTCTTTTGGTAGCAGAAGCTACAGACGTGAAGAACAAGTGGCAGAGCCAGAAGCACGCATGTGTTTTGCTTAAACCTGTATTGGAGGTGGGACGGGGGATGGGGAAGGGGACGTTTGCTGGGTTTGTGAAACACGCCTGGCTCCGTGTGTCTGGAAGGCTGACTCTGCCTGTCGTGTTCAGATACAAAGCCCTCGGGCTGCCACGGTCCCTGTGGTAAACACCAGAACCCAGCGACTGGCCCCTCACCTGGCCCGGAGCTGTCTGGTTTGGGCTAGCCTCCTGGAACGTTCTGTCTGGCCCATGTGTGGTCCTGTCCCTGGGCGCTCTGCCGTCTGAGACTGAGCCAAAGTCTAGAGCCACTGTCTACCGATGACCAGTTTGCGGGGCCCAGAAGCACTTCCGGAAGCAGAAGTCAGCAGGAAGACAGGGTCCCACTGACTCGACCCCACGGCCCCTCTGCGTGGCACCCGGGCTGGGCGTCTGCTAAGCTGGGACGAGGCAAGTCAGGCTTCCGAAAGGAACGGTTGGAACTGGAGCAGAGCCCGCAGGCCGGAAACTCGTGTTCGCGGCGCTTTGAGGAACCTCGTCGTGCGGTGGGGGGATGGGGGCGTCCCCGGCTGCCCTTGAGCTCCTTCCCGCTGCCGCCGCCTGGATGGGTCCCTTCCCCGGCGGGGGGCTTGGCCCACGCAGGCCAGGATCATGTGTCCACCGGGCAGGTGTGGGGCACTGACGAGAGCCCTCTGCGAGTTGCCAGCTTGGCCAGGCTGGTCCCTGTCACCAAGGACGGCGAGGACTGATGGCCCCAGCCCTGGCTGGGGCCGGCCGCGCTGGAGGGTGGTTGTAGCCATGGACCGTTGCCACCCAGTGTCCTTGGTAACAGGAGCTGGGGGAGGGTCAGGGCAGCCTCGGCAGCTCCTGGGGTGCAGTTGGCTGCCCCCCAAGGTCCCCGGGGCATCTCAAAGGAGGAAAAACGAGGCCACACTCGTGGGTGGCGAATGACTTCTCCCTGCCACGGGCAGGTTAGAGGAGGCCGTCACGGTGGCAGCCAGGCTGAGGAGTGACGTGGCCCGTGCGGCGCTCGGCATGGCCGGGCGCGGCACGGCGGTGGCTGGAACTATGGAGCTAGGAGCCCTGAGGTGGGGCGTGCCGCCCGCCCCCCAGCTGTCCCCTCGAGCTTGACAGGGAGGCTCCCGTGGTGGGGGGACCCAGAGCTCCTGCAGCTCTGATGTACATTTTCTCAGTGGTGGGGATCTAAGAGAACCCTCGGCTCTGGAGACCGCAGCCCAGCAGCCGGACCTCCTAGTGATGGGACAGGCCAGGGAGGTCCCTCCGCCACCTGTTCGCAGAGTGCTGGTCCCGGGGCTGGCGGGCAGGGACGCCTGCAGAAGCCTAGGCTCTTGTACCTGCGTCTGTCTGGCTACCGGGCCTATCCGGGACGATAGGGAAGGTAGAGCGAACCAGAAGGGCCAGTTGAGAATCTCTGGTCTACAGCCACTCCCCTGGGGGGCCGAGCCAGTGCAGGTAACTCCGCACAGGAGGGGGGGAGCATGGCAGCAGGGGTTGGGGGCACCCTCCTGGAGTGGGACCCAGAGAACAGTGCCAGGCCCGCCCATTGGGCGCCTGACTGGGGAGTGCTCTGCCCCTTGTCTGAGGAAGAAGTGTTGACTGATCTCAGCCCTGTACTTTTTCTGTGCTTGTGTTTAAATGTGAGTTGTGAACGGTCTCGTGTTTGCATTAAAGGAAATGGAACCTAACAGATCATTGTATTCTGATGGCGTGAAGGGACTTCCTTTGTCAAGTGACGGCTGGTTTTTTTCCTTAAGGTACTTGTGGTCCACCTTCCTCCCCACTCCCCCCACCTCCCACCCCCGCCCGAGGTGTTTCTCCAGAAGGTTAGAGTTCCTGAAGGTTAGAGTTCCTGCGTTTCTTCTGTTGATGAAGGCTGGGCTCGGTGCCAGGGCCCCTCCCCGGAGCTGCAGGGGGATGAGCAGAGGTCTGGGGGTCACCTGAGAGGGCAGAGGCAGGCCTTACACTCCTGATTCCACAGCCCGGTGCTCCTTCATCAAAGAAGTCCAGTATTTAGGGCGGATTCGGGCTGTGTGCAGTCTTTTGGGTCGAGCACGCCATCGGTCGTGCAGCTGCGCAGAGTGGCCCGTCTGGGGACAAGCGCGCCCTTGTCATCCCCTCACCGCTTGGCTTGCAAACCGAGAGCACCTCCAGACCGCTGGGGGTGAGCAGGATGCAGTGGGCGTGGGGTTTTCCCCATTGAGGTAAGTGGCCCAGACCCAGTAAAGAAGTTCTTCGTGGCTAGCCAGGGGCTACGCGGTGGCCCTCCCGGCCTTGCCACTTGGGTGTCGCTGCTGGGGCCCACAGCTGCAGTGACCTTTGCGTGGAGGGGGACAGGGACCCAAGGCCAGCATTTCTTCTGTAGACTTGGGGTGGGGACTCCAGGGCTTCTCTAAAGTCTGTCCCCTTCCAGCTCTAGGACTCAAGGTCTGGACAGAGCCCCGCGCCTCTGTGGAGCTGCTGCTGACTCCAGTGGCTCCGGCCCTCCCCCCATCAGCATTTTCTGGAGCTTAAGACTGAGGGGCATTTTGGATTTTAAAATCCGAGTACTTACCCCCATCATTTTGGTCAAGACACTGAAGACCTGGTTTCTGGCGTTCAGGATTTAGTAAATGAGTTAAATCTTGTAAAGGCACTTTATGTGTATTAACTATGCTTGGCACATAAAATAACAGGTATGGAGGGTTTAGTCATTTTCCCCAAGGGAAAAATTAGAAAAACTTAAGACCACGGAGCAAACATATTATTTTAATTACAGATCGAAATACAGTGTATCAGATGGGGCAAATACAATACTGTACCAGTTTTTAAAAATCGGAGCCATGAATGTTTTACATTCTAGTACACTTAAATAAAAGACCTGCTTAGGTAACAACGGTACACTTCAAGTTGTGTTAGAAACGGTTGTGTGCTAGGTACACACAGAGGAAAGGGGGCTGTTGTGCTGCTTGTCGATGGGGCAGGCACGGCTGGGGCTGGCTGGGGTGGGGGGCCCCCCGTGGGCAGAGTGGGTGGTAGCACAGGCCCCTGTGGCCCTGCCACCCCCTCCCCACCCCCGCCACGCCGGCCCGGTGCGGGGGAGCAAGCCAGGGAGCACGGTGGTGTGTTGCGGAGCAGCAGGGGAGCGGGGCTGGACAGGGGTCTCCGGGACAGGAGAAGCCTTGCCGCTGGGCGGCTAAGAGGGGAGGGCGGGCTCGCTCAGGTGTGAACAGCAGCAGTGAGGGTCGGCAGGGGTGAGGCGCAGCAGCCAGGGAGCAGCAGACAGACGGCCCTGGGAGGGCCCCCGAAGAGGCCCAGTGCGGGGTCCCGCCATCCCCCGGCGGGGGTGGGAACCGCTGCTGCTGTCGCCACCGGCCTGGAGCAGCCTCGGGAGGCAAGCACCTGTGTCGGGGGGGGGGGACGGCGGGACCCCACTGGTCCAGCGACCCTATTCCAACCCCGCTGCAGGTGTACCGCAGGAAGTTGGCTCGAGCCTTGTTTGACAAGGTCTCACCCAGTCCAGTTAAGCAGAAGCCGCCTCAGGTGACTAGTCTAAACATAAAAAAGGACATAGGAAAATAAAGGCATGTTTCTCTTTTTAAAAATACCTTCTATGTACACAACAGTAACGGGTGCAGAAGGCCCTGGGCACGACGAGGGCCGGAGGCCTGGCAACAGCGCTGCACCCGACGCCACAGGTCCAAACGCTCGTGGAGCAAAGGGCTGAAAGCAGCCCCGTGGCCAGCGCGTTCTGTAAGGGACTGGGGGTCTGGAAATGAAGGGCTTACCTCGGAAAGAAACGGGGGACCCCTTACCCCTACACCTCGCGCCCACCCCCGGGGCCGCGGCGAGTTGGCCGTCGCAGCAGAGCATGGACCGGAGGGAAATGGTTCACGAAACAAAGCACTTGATGACAGTGGGAGTGGTCACCTAGCCACACAAACGGTCGCCGGTGGGAAGTGCCATCCAGACTAGGAGGACATCGGGCCTAATCCTAAAAGACAAGATCACGAGCTACCATCCCGTGCCTGAGTCGCTGAGCGGGAGGTCCTGGCCGGCCGGAGTCACCACGAATGCTGGCCTTGGGCGCCCCTCAGACGGAGGTGTGGACGGGGGTGACCGAGTGGGACGGCGAGGAGCCCCGCTCGGATGAGGACGAGGCGCGCGTGGCCAACTCCCGCTGCAGGTCCTCCACGCGCTTCTGCAGCTCCGCCTTGATGGCCAGCAGCTCCTTGAGATTCTGGTGGACGGGCATCTGGGGACAGAGAGACGGCGGCGGTCAGGGGCCCTTCTCGGCCCCTACTCGGCACCTGCTCTCCCTCAGCTAGCAAGCCCAGAAATCCAAGGCCCCGCTTCTCCCTCATGAGGCTCCTGGGCTGGCGTGAGGCACACCAGGGAGGAATGTCACCATGTCGGGGACTCTCCTTGCCTTGCCCTCTTGCCTCCCCTTGTCCCCAAGCCAGTCTGCACAAAGCAGCTACAGGCCTGGGTTCTGAGCCTCAGCCAGGCTATGTGATGCCCACCCAGCAGCCTCCAGTGGCTTCTTTCTGCTGCCCTGACCTTGGCCTCAAAACCCTGCGGTCTGACCCCAGCCAGCCTCTACTCCCTTCTCCCCAGGTCCTGCCTCTTTGCCACTCCTGCATTCTAGAATCTTCTAGGATTTGATAGATGCCAGGCCTGCGCTGTCCCTTCGGGCTGCAGCACTTTCCCCCCAAGCCTTTGCTTCCTCCCTCAAAACTCTGAGCTCCTGCATCAGGGCTGCCAATGGTGATCAGCCCTACTAGAGGGAGGGAGAGAGGGAGGGCAGGAGAGAGACAGACCGGACACGCCGACAGGGGGGAGTGAAAAGAGGCAGATGAAAGAACGGGGGGTTTGGTAACCAGCAAAGAACAAGCTCCTGACTTCGTCAAGCCACAGGAAAAAGGGGAGGGACAACGATGTGAGTCTGATGCCAGCGGCGCCCCCAAACAAGGGAAACTTACCTTATTTGCTACTAATCCCAGAGGCCACCATTAGGTAAGGTCTTGGGGACTATCTGTATTATTTTCCTGTTCGCAGGATCACTTTATTCCAAGTGAATCAGACGAGGGAACCTTCTGCAGCAGCGGCCCTGGAGAGGGGCAGCCCATGTAGGGGAGTGCCCGGGGCCTGAGATGCTCATCGGACATCTCCGGGCAGCCTTTCCTCCGAGGCCACTGATATAAATCCAAGGCCTGCTTGTTTGAGGAAATGCCCCTGGCTAGCTAGCTAGGTGCCTCGGCCAGTGGGTCCCGTGTCCGCCACAAGACAAAAGGGCCCCAAAGGAAACAAGAATGCTGCTCGGCCCTCCTTCCACCCGGCAGACAGTCTAGCCCCCTCCTCCTCAGACCAAAGGGGCCCAATGGGCTAGTCCTCTGCCTTTCCTCCCCCCGAGTCCTGCGCAACTAGCGCTGCTGGAGGGAGCCGCCCTACACACCATGCGGCAGCCCAGCCTACCCACCTTTCTGGCCTCCAGTGCCCCCAAGGTCCAGCCTGCTCCCCCGTGGGTCCCGGTGCTGGCCACACTCGGGACAAGACATGGGTAGCCCACAGCCCACCTTCCAGTTCTCCCTTCTGTAGAGCACGGCGCAGGAAGAGCTCCTGTGCCACAAGGTCTCAGCATGGAGCCACTGCCAGAGAGGGGACGTGACCCCAACCCTTCCATGAGTGCAGGCCAGGCAGTGAGAACGGGCCAAGCCACGGCTCCCGTGTCCTACAGAGGTCCGTGTGGACAGCACCCAGAGGCCTGCCAGAGATCTCGACTTAGAGCAGCGAGGTCCGCGGCTCCTGCTCCTGTCAAGGTCATTGCAGCAGGCGAGAGGACGGGCTGGCTGGCCTTCAGGGGCCCGCGCAGTCCGTGAGCGCGGGGAGCTCGCGCTGCAGGAGGAAGAGCTCGGGCCTGGGGGACGCCCTTGGCTTCCCTGCTAAAGTTTCAGAAATCCCACCTGCCATCTGTCCTCTGTGTCACCCAGAATACTATTTGCTAACTCTGATTTAAATAAAGTGACTTTCGTACACTCTACCCCAGAGCCCGTCTTCCTCGTTGCTATGACACACGAAACCGAACCGCCCGGGGAGAAAAAGCGAGGAGGTGCTGGCAAGCAGATGCTGGCTTGCATTCCTGAGTCAAAGGGACTCCAGTGACGAGAAAGAAGGGCTTAAGGGTCCCCTGGGGCTGGCATTCTGTAGCAACTGAGGTCAGGAAGGAGTGTGTTCTGGAGGTGGCCCGGAAAAGGGCAGTCTAGGCCTGTTCTCGCACTTCTGTGGCGGTGAGTCACTGCAGAAGCTGCTGACGGGACTGGTGACACCCGACGCCCTGAGGTTCCCGGGCCCCGAAGTTGTCTCTCGCATGTGGTTCTCGTTTGGGGGATGAGCCCATCTAATGTAACAAGTAGTTGTTAGTCCAGGGGAAAACCCCTAGCACGGTACAGAGTGTGAGAGAGAAGGAGAAATCAGCTGTCGCCGCAGCCTGATGAAGGTAAACCGGAGCTTGGATGAGGGGACAGTGGGGACAGACAGCTGGAGCCATCGGGCGGCCCTGGGAGGCCAGCCGTGGGCACCGTGGGCTGTTGTACGAGCAACTTCAGCCGCGTGACCAGGGAATGGGGAGTCGCGGGGGGATGGGTCACTCGGAGGAGGGAAGGGGACAGGATGTGGGGACCATGCTTGTGAGTCGCGGTCCCCGCGGCGCTAACAGGATGGACGCCCATCAGCGGAGAAAACATGTTCCAACTCTTAGAAGTTGGCACTAAACCGAGAATCCATTTGGAGGCTAGAATGTGCTCTGGCCCCGTTGGCCATGAGGCCCCCTGCGCGCTGCCCGGTGCTGTCACCGCCTCGGCAGCAGCCAACGGCCCGTCCGCCGTGAGGAGTCGGCCTGGTGCACGCGGACAGGGCGGGCCTCGCCACGGCGCGGGGAGGCCAGTTTCGGGCCGGGGAGGGCTGCCCAGAGGCGGCTCTCAGAAGCGGAGGCAGCGGAAGCGTTTCCAGAGTCGGGGCTGGCGGCCCCGTGTGGGGACGTGGGGCAGCCGGCGGCTCGCTCGGCCGAACCGGGGCTGAGCCGACAGTGACGGAGGCGCCCGTCAGGGAGGGAAGGTGACTGACGAGACGGTCCCTCCAAAGTTCAAGGACCAGGAACCGCAACGTGAAATGAGCTGCTGGGTCTCCTGCGTGCCGAGTGGGGCCCGGGACTTGCCGCGGGTTCACCGGCCGCCCGGACCCGTGCGCCGAAGCGCCGAGCCCCGCGGGCACAGGGCGCGGCAGTGCTCGCAGGTGACCACGTCGGCGCGCGCCCTCGTCCTCGGAAGCGGGGAGCCGGGACGCGGCCACGCACGTGCAAGGGAGACAACAGGAAGACGGGGGGTGGGGGACCTCCACAAGCCCGGAGGGAAGCCCGGAACGCACTCCTCCGCGGCGGCTCTCACGAGGAACCTGCCCGTCAGCACCTCGGTCTCGAGGCTTCTCATCTCAGGACCCTGAGCCCGTGCTCCCCGAGACGGCGGCCCTAGCGCCCCGGGACCCGGCCGTGCGCGGGGACGTTGGGGACGCGGAGTGCGGCCAGGGGCCGAGGAGGACGGTGAGCGGAAAGGCGCGCGCACCTGTGCCCGAGAGCAGCGACGACAGCGGACAAGGCCCCGGAAGCCGCCGCCGGCAGACGGCCGCGAGACCCGACAGACGTTAGACTTAAAAAGAACCTCGGCAGAGGGTCCTGGCCACGGAGGGGGGCCGCCTCCATCGGCAGCCCCGGGAGCGCCCAGGCTCGGGGAGGCGCCCGGGGAGCCGGAGCCGGCGGCGCCCGCGCACCACGGCCAAGCGCGGCCGGGTCGCCGGGTCCTGCCGGCCGCTGTTCGGAGATCTTCGGTCTCGGAAGGATGGGGCGGCGGGTGAGCGTGCTGGGGACGGGGACGCTCTACCCCTTCAGCACGTGCCCTCTTCCTACCGGAGTCTGCAAATGAACCGAGTCCCTGGAAAGCCCGAGGGCGAAACGCAGTAGCCGCTGCCGCTGCCTTTAGCAGAAGACAGAAGCGCCAAGATTTTTAATCTAGCGAACAGCTTCTGGGTTGGTGTGTGAAAAGAAGGTGCTAGAACATGAACGCACAGGATTAAAACCTGAGAGGGGAGGGCAGAAGGAGCGTACGCTAATACCCAGCATGCATGCATTTCTACACCGGTATCTCTGCTTAGAAAGATGCTTTTGCAAAGAACAAAAAGCTACCTGAGGCCGCATTCGTGGGTTCCAGCGCACATAGTAGTTTACCCATAGTTCCAAGTGACTCAGACTAGCAACAGGATACAAGACGTGGTTTTCATAATTCACAAAGAAAGGATTAGAAAATTCTTCAAGCTGGCTATTGACATAGGACCATAAAGATATAGTCTTCGTATATACATCCTGAAAAACAAAAAAAGGAATACATTGAAATAAATTCAACTTTTTTTCAGATCCTTGAGAATTTGCATTATAAAGAGAAAAGGCCTTGGATAAAAGGAGTTCAAAGGCTGAAAAGTTACAGAACATTTGCTAAGCCCCAACCCCATCCCTTACGCTCCGCCATCGCCTCATGCCAGGGACAGCAGGGAAACATACACTGGTTCCTGTCCTGGCAAAATGCATTGCTGAGTTAGGTGACATCTGGCGACCATGTCAGTGTGAAGGCAAGATGAGAACTTCCTAATAAGCACGGGATGATGGGGCCCATCCATAACAAACACAGTCTTTATTTCCAGTTTGCAGTTTTGCTTTTGTGACTGGGGTAGAATTCACAGATAAGATTGCTTTCCCTGCAAAATCATGGCTATCTGGGGGGGGAAACACTCCAGGGTGGCAGGCGGGTGAAGCCTCCCACCGAGAAGCACGTGCCCGCTTGAGAAATGTGGGACTACCTGCACCGCTCCCGAGTGGGATGCCGGAACCCACAGGCTGGGCAGGACGGGTCGGTGTTAGACACGGACCAAGCACAGTGACAAAGTCAAAATTAGAAAACTGTAAAGCCGGCTGACTCCCACAAGCTAGACACAGAGAATTCCATCAGGACCTTTTCCTATTTATATACTCTATGTGTTTCTAAGAGAAACACCAGCGAGAATTCAAGGGGCTCTGAAAAGCCACAGTCATCAACACAGGCGGTGCCAGCCCGGGAGGGACAGACATGCGCATCAACAGCGGGAAGACGACACAGCAACGAGCCCTCACCTAGGCAGTCCCCGATTTCCAAGCTGGGCACCGAGAGCCTTCGGTTTGGGGGAGAGAGTCTTCTCAACAAACGGCTGGGATGACGGGTTAGCCACAGGCAAAAGAATAAATTTGGACCCGTACCATACAGTGCACGCAAAAAGAACTGAAACGCGGGTCACAGGCCTCAATGGAAGGGCTGAAAGTATAAAACCCAGAAGAAAACACGGGCTCAACTCTTCACGACCTCAGGCTGGGTAACGGCTTCCTGCATAGGACCCCAGAAGCACAGGCAGTGAAAGGAAACAGACAAATTGGGCTTCAGGAAAATTAGACTTGTGTGTTTTAAGTGAGACCATCAAAAAGTGAAGAGACAATGCACAGAGTGGGTGACAGTTTTTGAAAATCATATATCTGATAAGGGACTCGCATGTATCCCGAGTTCTAAGGAAGTCTTACGACTCAGTGATGAAGGCAGCCCAACTGCAAACGGGCGAGGGTCTGAACCAACAGTTGTCCACAGGAGCTATGCGGAAGGCCAAGATGCACGCAGAAACGTGCTCGCACTGCCATCACTTGCCAGGGAATGTACCCCAGAACCCACAGTGAGATACCACGGGGATGGCTAGAATAAAAAAATACACAAGTGTCTGCGAAGAAGTGCGGAAAGAGGCCCCTTCGACCTTGCTGGTAAGATACTGACTCTGGAAGAACAGTCTGCGGTTCTTCAAAAGGTTAAACACGCAGTTCCCATGTGACTCGGCAACTGCACTTCCGGTTCCGACGGGGCGGGGGGGGGCGGCGCGTGTCCACACGAACTCCGCACGTTCGAATGTCCGCGGCGCAGCCGCACGCTCGTCAGAGCCCAGAGCAGCAACGGCAGGAAGTCCGCTGGCGGCCGACCGCAGCCGCAGCTCGTGGCCTCTCCCTAGCGTGGAATGTCACTCGGCCAGAAGAAAGGCACAGCGTTCGGACACCTGCAGAAGCACGGGCCTGGACGACATGACGCCACTCACGGAGGACAAATGTTCGCTTCCACTCACGCGGGGTGTCCGTAACTGGTGAATCCGCACGGACCGCAGGCAGATCGCAGCTGCCCGGGACGGGGAATGAGGAACCGGGAGAGGCCGCTCACGGGGCCCGGCTCTCTCTCTGGGGCGATGAAAAGTCTAAGGGGTTTGTGACCTGAGGTGGCGGTGGCTGCACGCTCTGAGTACACCGAAAACCGCTCTAAAAGGGTGAGTTGTACATAAGTCATAGGTGGAGAGAGCTGATTTTTTAAAATATACTTTGTCAAAAAAAAAAAGACCATCGGGGTTTAAATTCTACACGTGAACTTCATTCTGTTGATTTTCAAAAAAAGCTTTATTGAGATATGAGTCACATACCGTAAGATTCACTCTAAAACTTTTAACTTTTTTTCAAGAGGTTAACAGGACCCTATCACCTGGGCCGGTAGGAATGCGGACCTTATCCTGCCCACAGTGGAAGCCACGGGTTGCTGGAGGTCAGAAATGAGGGGAGCAAAGTGCATTTCCAGACAGTGGCCTTAGTCCACCATGAACTAGGCTGTGGAGCAGTGACAAGTGGCCAGATTAAGAAAGAATCTCTTCAGGGAGCCTGGGTGGCTCAGTCGGTTGAAAGTCGGACCCTTGATTTCAGCTGAGGTCATGATTTTGGGGTTACGGGATCGAGCCCCACATCAGGCTCAACCCTTAAGGCAGAGTCTGCCTGTCCCTCTCCTGCTCTCTCCTTCTTCTCTCTCTCTCATAAGTAAATAGTCTTTTTTTTTTGAAGAATCTCTTGTGGGGAGCAGCTGTGGCAACTGGGGAGGGAGGAGGCAAATGCTAAGGCATCTTGAGGGGCAAAGCTGCCCTCTAGGGAGATGCAGGGGAGCAGGGGAGCAGCAGCACGATGGTAATTAGACTCCAAGATGGGACAGACAGTGACCGAGAGAGAACAGAGTTTGGGGCAGGACGAAGACCGAACTGGGTCCAGGCAGGCTCCCGGGTGACAGAAGAGTCAAAGGGAGGAGGCTGAGTGGGGTGTGGACATGGAACGAGGGGGCGACAGCTGTGGGGAGGGTGTAGAGGGAGGTGGGTGCTGGCGACCGCCTATTTTCTCCAAAATTCAATAATGTTCTGATGTGCTTATTAGTCTACAGGTGGTGGCCCTTTTCTGTTAACCAGAAGATACTCTAAGCTGCCTTTTCCCAATGCTTCCTCGTGATCATTTCTTTCATTTATCTCAAAATGAGGAGGAAAGGGGCACCTGGGTGACACAGTCAGCTGAGCACCAATAACTGGTTTCGGGCCAGGTCGTGGGATCAAGCCTGCCTTCAGGCTCTGCTCTCAGTGCAGAATCTGCTTGGGGTTCTCTCTCCCTCTCCCACTGCCCCTCAAGCTCATGCTCTCACGCTCGCTTGCTCTCAAATAAATAAATCTTTAAATTTAAAGAAAAACCTCTTAGGAGGAAAGAGGGGAAACAGAACTCCGAGAAGAGGGGAAATAGAACTCGGCCGGATGGAAAAGGAAGTCTGGCTCGCTACCTAGCAGGAGGTTCCGGGGTCACCTACAGACTTCAACCCTCCTAGGTCTCTGCGTACCTGTCACCCCAATGGAACAGTGAAGAGCAGAATCACAGCATTTTGGAGTCAGTGTGGTAGAAAGTACACGAACTTGGGGTTTAGGGGTCCGAGGTCTAGAACTGACCGTACAAAACCTTAGAGTCCTCAGACAGCTGTGGGCTTGCTTCCCTGCCCCCATAAAGGAAGGGGCCTGCGTCCGACCACATGGAAGATCAGACACACGTGCTGGGGCATCTCATGCGACCCCCCATTTACAAACAGCAGCAGGGCCAGACCCAGGTCTCCTCTCCATCCAGTACCCCCCCTTCCACAGTGGCACTTAATGGGAAAGGCCCCTGAGCCGTGGGCAGTAACAGACAGGATGGCGTGCACTTACCTCTTTGAACCGTTGCTGTTCACAGTTGCACAAAAAAGTCCCGAAGAGACAGCTATATAGATGGTCCAAAATGGTGATCAAGAACAGCTCGTTAAACTCGAATGCCGACGGAAACTTAAATGGAAAGAGAGGTAAGGTTTAAAGTTCAATTTCTACAACTCAGTGGTAGGAATTTTCGGTGAAAGCTAAAGTACAATTTGGAATACAGCTGAAGGCTGAAAGGAAGACTGAGCCATGCTGGATTTCACTTCCTACGGCTTCCGGTCCAGGCCCGCGGAGCCCGCGCTAGGACACCTGCAGCTGGAAGAGCCCGCAGCCGCCCTTCTGCCAGAAGCGAGGAGAGAGCGGGACGGAGCGCGTGGAGCCGCTATTCGCACACACCGGCAACAAGCGGCCGGGACTGTGCCGGCCGCCCAGAAGGGAAACAGACAAAGCCAGTTCGACTACGGTCCCAGCTTTCTGCCTGGGGCTACGTTTGGAGTCCAAGAAGGGAGAGGGGTTCCCAGGCAGAGCAGGTACCAAAAGAGATTCAAGAAAGAACGGAAAGGCTATTATCTAGTAAAGAAATAACTTGTGATTAAAAACCTTCCCACAGAGACAACTCCACGAACATACACCCCCAAATCCTTACCAACATCTGAACAAATTGACACTGGCAATATATACAAAAGGTAACACAACATGATCCGGTGGGGTTTAGCAGGAATGCAAGGCTGGCTTAACATTTGAAGATCAACGTTAAAAAATAGTAATTACTGTAATTCACCACATTAACAGCATAAGAAAATCACATAATCATCTCAATTATTGGTTTAGGTCATTCTCAATGGGTTTTTTGCAGAATTTCAACAAGGACTTTACCATTGCCGGGAGGTTCTAGCCAGTACCTGGCATTTAGTAGCCGTAAGGAGATGGTCTGGAAACGACAATAATGATTAATGATGGCAACGAAGCTCCTGGGCAGGCGACAGTGGGGCGCCTCCCACGTGCCAGTGCCCCAGCAAAGTACCCAAGGCGGCAAAGGCCGCTGGAACCACCCAGCAGAGCTTTAAGTACATTTTCTTTAAAGTATGAAACTGGTCCCCATAGTGCGATTTGCACACTCTCATGACTCATCCTGTCATCTCTAGAGAGACAACCACGGTCACCGATGGCCATATTACTTTCCCAGGCTAGGGACAAGCTTCCTAAAGAGAAAACATCGGTCCATCCAGGACCGTCCAAACTCCCCCTGCAATTGCTCTCTTCCTCCCCGGCCACTCATCACATCAGCCGCCATGCGGACTTCTGCTCGGCCGCCCTGGATGCAGGTGGGCCTCTCTCTCCGTCTTACGGACTGTTCCCGCAGAAACACAACTCTCTTCTGTGGAGCCCCCTCAGAATGCCACTTCTTCAGAAACCTCTGGAAACTGGCCGTGGTGGTGGCTCTTAGATGAACTACATCAACTAAATCTGGCTGAAATGCTGATGATAGCTACTGATGAATCCTCTCTCAGGGGCTTGAACTTGCAAATCCACCAGTGGCCTCACATTCCAAATGGCTATCCTTTAAACGGCCTAGCACATCATGTCTACTTTTCCCAGCATTTTTCTATGCAGTTTAGTTATACTCTAGTTAAGAAATTATTGGCACCACAAAATTTATGAATGTTAAGCAAATATATAACATTTATGTACACTGAAGCTTTATCAAATCAAGGATAGAAATGGAAGACCTAGGTTTTATTTTCATTTAAATTACACATTTACTAACAGGACAGCGAAGCTTCTATGGACACATTTCCGAAATCAAATGAGTCTTTACTGCTAACTCTGAGCCTGCCTGCTCCTGGGAGCTTGGCTGGGCATGTTCTAGCAGCCCTGACTCTAAGCCTTATTCTGGCCAAGTGGATCCCAGGGCCGGTAGGTCTAGGTCAGGCGGGGCTCGGCCTCTGCCTGTCAGCACCCCTGGAACCAGGACACAAGAGCTGCACCTTCGGATGCTCGCCGGGACTGCTGGTCCCGTTCAAATGGCGTTGCGGCCTCACGCTCAGTCCAGGAAATGCTTCATTAGAGGAAGCAGCAACAGCTAGAGTAATACGAATAGAAGATTAAGTCTTGTGATTCGCAATTTCTTTTGGCCTCTTCTCCTGGAAACTATACCATCTGCCTAAAAAGTATGCGCTCAAAAACTCTAGAAATCCACAATGAAATTCTGCATGTCTTGAGGAACAAAAATATGAAAAACTATTAAACCTACTCAAAAGGGCAGAGTCTATTAAACTACAGTTATTGTAGAATGTTTGAGACTCTTTTCTGAAGAGCCGCTCAATTCCTTTCCCTTAGATCCTTGTCTATCAATTTGTGCTCACAGCCTAGTTCACGTTATCCTGAGATTTCGAACGATTTAATGTGGATTTAGCTTACTTGATTTAGCAGTAGGCAACCTCCAAATAAATTAATCTCATTACATTAATGCATCTTTCCTAACAAGCCACATGTCGCATCCACTTGTAACTTAACTGATAGACTGAGCGGTGCTCTTTCTGCCTCTATTGCATTAACCATGTTGTTTTAAGAGACGTTAATTATACACGTTTCATGGACAGGAGCTGAGAGGCATCTGAAATCTAATCTAAACCCCTTGTCTTTTTTTCCCCTTAAAATCCAATAACCAGCACAAAAATGATCTAGATTAAACATGAAAATAGGGACAAAACAGTATGAGGAATGGAAGGCAGTTTGCGGATACTACACGTGCGCACGCATGCACTTGGCATTTGTGAGGAAGGAGATACTTCACATCAACAAAAGTAGTGCTTATCCCCTCAGAAGCATCATTTTTTGTGTGTGTTCAACCTTGTTACATAATTTTTCTTAAATGCATTTTATACTTTTTTGTTTTAACCTGAATGTAACCATCATTTAATTTTGTTGTTGGCTCAGTTAATACAAACAGCAAGAAGTTCACAGTGCTACATAACAGTATGACCCCTGGCCAGCCTCCGTGCTTTCTGAGTGTGTGTTCACTACCAACCGTCACTCATCCCACCGGTGCCCACCTCTGAAATGCCCCTCCACCCCCACCAGCCCTCCAACTGGCTGCTCTGAATCACGTGTGACCTGGTGCCTGGAAAACATGAGAGCCCCACCAGTCTGGGGAAGCTGGGCCTAAAAGTAAGAGGAAGGTCTAAGTGCCAAGGACTCTGGGAGGTCTCCGCTAGCTGATCAGAACTCAACCCCCCCCCTTTTTTTTCTTATTTCTGAAAGCATGCCTGTTCTCTCTAGATGCTTGGTACTGAGATCCATGAGGCATGCAGACTCACAAATCAGACTGCGTTTTAGTAATACCCCCACACCCAGTGCCACCCTCCCTCCAGTGTCAGCAGCTCTGGGCAGGCCTGAGAATTTTCATCTCTACGTGCCCAGGGGAAACTGAGGCTACCGGCCCCGGGACTGCGGCTGGATGGAGCCTGTCGTCTGAAGGCTGGTCTTCTGCCTCACTGGCACCTCAGAACGCACATGGGGAATGTTCCAGAATGACATACATCCGGACTTCTCCCTCAGCCCACAGGAGGAAGGGTGTGCAAGGAAGGGGGCCCAAGCATGTGCACCTTTAAAAGTTTCCAGGCGCTGACAGTGTGTCCACAGGTACACAGTGAGGCGGGGGTCCCTCAGATGGCTCCTGAGCAGTTGCTGCTGGAAGGGGTCTGGGCCGAGAGGCAGTGGAGCAGCAGTGCACCGTAAGTGGGCTCAGCCTCTCTCCTGCCCACTACCAGCCCCCCACCACTAAGGGTGGTGCACGGTGAGGGATTTCACAGATAGTCGTACCTCCGACTTCCTGGGCTTAGAAAGCAGAGATCCTTTGAAAAGATCCTGGGGTGATGGTAATAATGTGGTCAGGAGGCTGTCGTGAGTACCATGGCTGCTGATGGAGTCACTAGAGGTGGCCAGCAGTCTTTCCAGCTGGACCTCTTCCCGTGACTAAGGCAGCCACGGCCAGACCTCCAGGCCAGTAGGAAGGAGAGCACCCAGGCCATGGCTCTCCACCCTCTGACTCTCTCCCTGTGCAGGCTCTGGGGAGACTACCTGTTTTCTATTCTCTCCGTCTAGGTCTCCATGTGTCTGTCTCTCTCTGTGTCTGTGTGTGTGTCTCTGTGTGTCTCTCTGTCTCATTCTCTCCATCCTACCTCTCCGTATGCCAATCTGTCCCTGCCGCTCTGTCTGGCACTCTGGCTTGATCTCCTATCCTGAGGATAAGACCCCAAACTTGGGCTCAGGTGTTAGAGACCGGGGAATAAACAGCATAGGCCTCAGGGCCTGCTTTAAACTGAAGCCGTGGGGGCCCAATACACTTAGGGAAGGGGGATCCCTGTGTGGCCCCCTTGCATACTGGGGCCCTGTGCACTGGGGTTGGAAACTAAGCGCCAGTAACTTCCTACCTACCTCTGCTTCCCGGACATTCCCTGCCCTCGGCGGCACTGCCACGGGGCCATGGGGGCCCAGGCCAGGCATGCAGACTCCTGGGTTCCCAGGGCCGCATCCCCTCCCCTGCTGTCAGTCCTGTCACATCCCTGTTTCACACACTTGGCCTGCTCAGCAGGGGACCGTGCCTCTTCACCCAGACAGAAAGGGACACGAGCGACAGAACGGCAGAAGCAAGGCCTTGGTCGGCAGAGCTGGTGGACAGAAGACTGATAAAAGCATTTGCACGAGAACAGGAACTTTTGGTGAGAAATGATAGTCTCTAATTTTCTGCTTATACTTCTAAGTGAATTAGAATCAAACCGAGTTAAATAACAGAAGGGTCCCCTTTTGACACACATACACGTGTTCACTTTGAATGAACATGAATATTTATCTAATCTTCAATTTTAAGTCAGAAATATACTTGAAATTTCTTACCTGTCTTGTCATTTGCCAAACACAATCAATGAACTGAAGAAATATAGGGGATCGGTCAGCATCTGCATGGTTGTCGTTGCCGTGGCCCACTCTCTGAGAACAAACGAGAGGTTAAACATGTGAACGCATGCCACAGTTCTCTCAAAAGTCACTTAAAATCACCTAGTGGCAAGCATTAGGTGTTATCTGTATGTCCCAAGACTTAACAGGAAACACAACTTCAGTGTACTGTACTGTTATGGGTTGACTTTTATAATTTCACTTTAAAATAGTGGAGATCAAGAAGTTATAAGCAAGTGGCCAGTAAATGTTTCAGTCCCAATGCTAGGGTCAGGCCGGGCCACAGTGCCAAGTGCACAGTGTCAATGTGGGACTACCGACTAGCGGCTCAGGAAGCACATTACGATGGCCATTTCCTCCACAGGTGGAAAAATAGGTCTTCCCACTTTTCCGAAATGTCAGGAAGTCTGAGAATCAAATAATAATCTATACATTTTAACCAATTCTACAGGACTCAGAGAGCCCCACAAATCCCACACTTGAAATGGTAAGGGGGAGTCCTTGCTCAAGGCAGCCCAGGTCTGAGACATACTTGATAACCAACAGTGCATTTCACACGTTTCAGTGTTGTAGAGCTACTTATGGATTCCTGATAAAAGAACTTCAAAAACAAACACGACAAAACATTGGAAATGTCAAGTTAAAAGACAGTTCGAGAGTAAACATTCGAAGAGAAGGCTCAAATACTCTGGTGACGAAGCAAAAGGACGAGAAGGAAACATTCCAAAGATATAATGCAACTACTACATAGAAAGCACGAGAAGTACTGGGTCTAGGAAACTGCCAGCGGGAGAGACATAGAAAGGAGGAAATCCAGGCCTCACAGTTACAGTAGTTGGGTCTTACTGGTTTTCAATTGTGGTGAAACATACAGAACGTCAAATGGGCCACCTTAACCAGTTTGTGCACACAGCTCAGTGGGATCAAGTACGCTCAGTGCTGGGAGCCAACCCCACCGTCCATCTTTCCAATCTGAAACTCTTCCCCGCTAACTCCATGTCTCCCCACCCTGCCGCCACCAGTGTACTTTCTGTCCCTGTGCATGTGACTGCTCTTGGTCCCTCTTATAAGTGGACTCCTACAGTATCTGTCTTCTTGTGACTGGCTTCTTTCACTCAGCAGAAGGTCCTCAAGGTTCATCTGTATTGTAGAATGTGTCAGAAATTCCTTCCTTCTTTGAGCTGAGTGACATGTCCATTGTATGGACAGACCACATTCTGTGTACGCGTTCATCTGTCGATGGACACCGGGGCTGCTCCTACCTCTGGGCTCCTGTGAACCACACTGCTTGTACGCGTGGGTGTGCAAGTATCTGAGTCTGTTTTCGCTTCTTTTGGGTGCATCCCCAGAAGCAGAATCCCCGGGTCACAGGGCGGCTCTATTTTTAATGGTTTGAGGAACTGCCCTACTGTTTTCTACAGCAGCTGCAGAAGTGGCCTTATCTCTGCACTTCCCCTTTACAAGATAATCTGTAGAACCTGCTCTTCAGTGTTTAAGGCACCTTGGGAATGGTTTTGCACGGCCGCTAGCAATTTAAGATTCATTCTTTTAACAGCCGCTCACTGAATTCCTCTGGTGTATGCAAGGCATCTTGCCTGGCCCTTGGGAGTTTGGGGACATGTGGTGCTGTCCCACAGAGGCCATACTCTTGGCTACACACCTGAGGCACCAAGACAAACGAGACACAGTACCTATGCTGAATAAATAATTCACTTGCAGTGTGGTCGTGGGAGAAAGACCTGTAAACAACAACGGCACTGAAACGTGCCCAGGGCTTCCAAGTCTGGAATGGGTATGGCGGGGCCGCAAACGAACAAGAGCCAACCATGGATGGGGCAGAGGGAGCAGGGAAGGCAAACCCCGCGGGCCACAGTCATGGAGGAGGTCTCATTTCAGATAAACCTTCACCGACAGAGGGAGATACCTGCTTCCTGGCTGGCCAGGGGTGCACTGTAGTAGAAGAAGAGGGAACATGGTAGGGGTACCAACAGCACCAGAGGCAGCTGGGCATGAGGCAAGGGGAGGGAGGCGAGACAAGGCTGAAAAGGTGGACGAGTCCAGATGACCGAGGGCTTCAAATGTTGAGCTGAGGAGTTTGCCCACAACCGCATGGGCCACAGGAAAGCTCGGAGAGTTCTGCGCAGCATGAGATCTGCTTCTTGGAACGCCCCGTGTGGCTGCAGTGAGGACAATGGATTGGAAGGGGACAGGTGACAAAGAAACTAGTTAGGAGGCTGCCATCACAGCCCCAAGGGAGATGGGCAGGCCGGAATGAAGGGGCATCAGTGGCACCGAGACGGATTTGAACGCGTTTAAAGACATGGGACCAGTCGAGATCACTACGGTGTTACGCACAGAGAAGAGGAGCGATCTGCCGACTGAGCCCTGGAGCACCCCAACACGAAGAGGTCGGGGAGAGAGGGAGGACTAGAAGATAGGAGGAAATTCAAAAGGCTGTGCAGACCTAGAAGCCAAGGGAAGAAAGTTTCCAGAAATAGGGAAGAAGCAACAGCATTAAGTGCTCAGGCCCCCCTCCTCACTGAGCCTAGCCTTTCCTCAGGGTCCAGGCGCAAGCGCCTGACATGGACAGACTCCCCTCCGCCGCACAACGCTCCACCTCCGGGAAGGACATCGAGGTGCAGGGGTGGCTCGGACAACGGCCCCTGAAGGGCAAGTGGCTCACAGGCTCTCCTCACGGCCGATGTACTCGGGACCCCCATGGCGGGAGCCACGGAAGCACCCCCACAGCCACGGCCCATCCTCCTGCTCTGAGCAGGTCTGAATGAGGCTTCAGGCATATTCCGGTGCCGCGCACGGTTAAGACGAAGCCCCAGTGGCTCAATGACTGGGGAAGAGCCGGAACGAACAGTCACTCAGTGGTGACCCAGTGACCCCACTGCTACGGGTGTCCCCAGTGGGACAGCGGCCGTCACAGTCTGAACTGCCCCAATCCCTACGCTGGAGCCCTGACCCCCAGGGCCTCGGAATGGGACTACATTCGGAGATGGGGTCTATGAGAGGTGATCAGAAGGAAGATGGGAGGCTGGGCCCTGCGCCAGCCTGACCGGTATCCTCTCAAGGAGAAGAAATTCGAACGCGAGAGGCACCAACGAGGTGCACCCAGAGGAAAGACCATATGAGCACAGGGGAGAGGGCGGCCATGCACGAGCCAAGAAGACACGATTCAGGACAGACCAACCCTGCCAGCACGTGGATCTTGGACATCCAGGCTCCAGAACTGGGAGACTATATATTGTTACTGGCTAGGCTCCTCGGTTTGCGGTAGTCCGCGTGGCAAAAACTGGTATGCCAACGTTTGCAGCAGCGTTAGTCACAAGAGCCAACTGGTGGGAATCATCCAAGTGTCCACCAACAGGAATGGATAAGCAAAGGGAATACGGGTCAGGTATGAAAAGGAACTAAGTTTTTATATACGCTATGTAATGGATAAACCTTAAAAACTGTGTTTAGAGAAATAAGCCAGTCACAGAAAGACGAATGCTATGATTCCATTTACAGGAGGCACCTAGAACAGGCAACTTGCGAAAGACAGAAAGCAGGTTAGTGACTGTCAGGGGCTGGAGGAGGGGGAGATGAGGAAGGACTACTTAATGGATACAGGGTTTCCTTTTGGGGGGCAGAGAAATGTTCTGGAACTAGACAGAACTGGTGCCAGTACAACACTGTGAATGCACTAAATGTCACCGAACTATATGCCTTAAGATGGTTAATTCTGGAGATGCCTGGGTGGCTCAGTTGGTTAAGCAGCTGCCTTTGGCTCAGGTCATGATCCCAGCGTCCTGGTATCGAGTCCCACATCGGGCTCCTTGCTTGGCAGGGAGCCTGCTTCTCCCTCTGCCTCTGCCTGCCACTCTGTCTGCCTGTGCTCGCTCTCGCTTCTCTCTCTATGGCAAATAAATAAATAAAAATCTTTAAGAAAAAAGATGGTTAATTCTGTTATATGAATTTTACCTTATTTATTTAAAAAAGAAAGATACATACACTAAAAAAAAATTAAAAAAAAAAAATGAAGAGTGCCCTACCAAAAACATACCATGCTGAGGTCCACGGAATTCTATTATGGTGATTCAGGTCTGACACAGAGCAGAAAGCGCGTGCGCACGCGCGCGCGCGCGTGTGTGTGTGCTGTATGTGACACACACAGGCATAGGCTAGAACAAAACAAGTCAGGAATTCACCTCACGGTCTCAGCTTACCAGCGCAAACCTATGTCCGAAGCTTATCCACTCCTTTTCTATGAGCGCCTCGAAGCCTTTAATGGTGCGGTAGTAACTGTCCAACATCAGCATCGCCAGAGACGTCAGCTGGGCGGTCCGGTCCCAGCCATCGCTGCAGTGCACCACCACCGACGTTTTCCCAGACTCTATCTTATCGGCGATCCTTACTGCCCCAGCAAGAAGCATCTTCGGGAAAGAAGGCATGTTAGAGCAGGCAACGTTTAATTTCTAGGACAGCAAAAACAGTTCTGCGGAGAATGTTAGAAGTTCAGGTCAATAAACCAAACAATGCAATCCAGTGAGGCGACTCGGAGACATCAGCGCTGGGGGCGGGGACACCTTACACCAAGGAAAATGACGGCGCCAAGTGCACTCGCTTACTACAGGGCCACAAAGTACGTTCCAAACCGGACTGAGGCAAGCAGTATCCCTCGACAGAGACCACAGTCTGAATGCTGCCTACAATGCAAAGATGCACTTCTGCACAGTGTTGGGAAACCGCACGGATGCACAGATCTACGGCAGGTGCGTGGGATATCTGCACCAGGAAGCATGCCGAGGACCAGCCCTCCTCACCCTTATATACTCCAGCCAGTGCGTCCCGTCCACGCTGGAGAGCCACCGTGCCTCATCAATGGAAGGGTACACGACCTCCTTCAGTTTGCGCAGGGACTCTCTCATCACGTGGATGTTGTGGATCTCCAAGAACACGAGCTCTGCGTTGGGGTAAGCGCTTTCACTTTCGTACCCTCCACCCTTGGCCTGTGAGAAACAAAACACATAAAGCTCTGTGTCTGAGTTCACACTTCCACTGTTTCTGGTGTTATCAGAAGGAGACTGTTAAGGACGCAACAGGCCCTTCCGTGTAAAATAACCCTCCTAACCCTTGGAGGACTCGCCCCCAGCTCCTGCCACAAAGCACCACACAGTAAGCAGCTTAAAACAACAGAAATGTCCCCTCAGAGTTCTGCAGCCAAAATCAGGGTACTGGCAGGGCCGTGCTCCCTCAGAAGTCTCTTGGGGAGGACTCGTCTTTGCTTCTTCAAGCTTCTGGTAGCCCCCAAGTGGTCCTGGTTTACAGACACATCACTCAGATCTCTGCCTCATCATCCCATGGCCTTCACCTCATGTCTGCCTCTTCTCTCCTTCTAAGGACCTGAGTCAGACTAGATGACAGCCCATCCTAATTCAATAGGACCTCATTGTAACTGGATTACATCTATAAAGACCTCATTTCAAAATGAGGCCACAGTTCACTCACCTACCAGGAGTTAGGTCTTCAGCATAGTTATTTATGGAGACACAATTCAACCCCTAACAATTCTCCAGCACTCATCATCAGGTTTTGAACCTTTAACAACTGGACCTTACTCAAGGCAAGTTAGATTTTTAAAGGTTCTGCTAGTGCCATCTGTCTGAACAGAAACAGTTGTACTGCCACAAAAATTTCTGTATAATAAACTATCTGTAAATCCCAAACAAGGAGGTTTAAGCAATTTCAGTAAAATAAAATGCAAATGAAAAGACCACAGCAGCATGATTTGCCATAGCCAGAAAGTGGAAGGAACCCACTTGCCCAGCAGTGGACGAGTGGACAAACAAAACGTGCTCTCTCCACACAGTGGAACATTCTGCAAAGGAAGTGACTGCTGGGACGCGCTGCCATAGGAGTGAATCTCAGACACATCACACTGAGGGAGAGAATCCAGGCCCCAGAGACTATGTTGTATGATTCCATTGCATGAAAGGCCAGAACCAGGAAATTACAGACAGAAAGTAAATTAGTGGTTGGTGGGAGCTAGAGGGGGAGGGGCGAGAACGGGCAGCAGCTGCCAGTGGGCATAGGGTTTCTATTTGGGGCCATGAAAGCATTCTGGAGTTAGAGGGGGTTGCTGCACAACATTGTGAATATACCAGAAGTCACCCACTCGTAAACTTTGGGACAGATAACATAGACAGATTAATGTCATATGAATTTTATCTCCAAAAACATAATAAATGTATCTGTGAACCCAAAGACCACATCCTTCATTCTGTCTCCAACCGCTTAGCACGTGGATATTAATGCTCAGCCCTGAGCTAAATACTGGGGTGACAAGTGGAGACCCTGGTCCTCAAGGCACTCCCAGTCTGGTGGGGTAGACGGGTAAGGAGAGGGACATGTGCAGCGCGGGGTGAGGGAGGCAAGTCCTCTGCTGGAGAGCACAGGGTACACTGGGGGCACATGGCCAGGCCTGGGAGGCTGCCAGAGGGACAGAACAGACGTCCGCGTGAGAAGAGAACGCCCGTCAGGAAAGCTCTGCCGTGGGGAGGAAGGTCAAGAACACAGGGCAGAGGGGCCATGGTGTGTAGCTTCCCAGACACGGGCAAGGACGCGGCTCGATGAGAGGCAGGCGAGCAGCTGAGCCGAGGAGAGGCGGCCAGATGGTGGCCCAGGGCTGGATGTGCAGGTGCAGGGAGGGGTCAGAGCACAGACGAGTGTGGCGACGGCGCCATCGGACTTGCGCTGCGGCATCACCACGGCTGTGCTGGGCGGAAGGGCCTGGAGGAGGGTGCAACCTCCCGCAGGGAGACCAGCTCAGAGACGGGCACTCATCTGGCTGAGAGAATCGTGGTAGAGGCAGCAGGACAGACAGACAGACTGGAGCTATTTAAGGGGCAACACTCGGTGGCTGAGTGTGGCAACGGAAGTAGGTAGCACAGTGACACCCAGGATTCCAGGCCAGGCCAGGCACCCCAAGAGGCAGCGGTATCCTTTGCTGAGATACAGATGCTCGCAGAGGGAACAGAGGACTCCGCTTTCGCCATAGTGAGCGCAAGGTGCCTGGGAGGAATGTAAGCGCGGAGGTCTGCCCGCAGCGGGTCAGGAGCTCAGAGCCAGGTCTGGGCCGTGGCTACCAAGACAAAGTCACTGGCCTCTGGAGGAAATCGGACCACAGAGGTCGGGCATATCATGCTCAAGGTCGGCAGGCGAGCCAGGAGAGAAGCGGAGGCCGGAAGCCTGGAAAAGGCCAACATGTAAGACACAGAAAGCAAAGGAGACTGAGAAGAGCCGCCAGAGAAGAGAGGAAAAAGAAAAAAAGGAAAAGGCTTTTTGAAAAGGAAAGAGTACCGAACTACCTGAAGCTTGGGAAGTCAAAGAAAAGAACTGAAGAACACAGCTGTACTCCGGGCCAGCAAGCACGGGGCAGCCGCGTGGGCCAGGCGGGCCTTGCAGGCGCGCAGACCCAGTGAGTGGGGGGGCGCTCCCAGAGGCCCATCGGGAAGGGGCAGGACAACGACGGGGCCAGCTGGACAGGAGCGGTGACCATGGCTGGAGGGGGCGCTTGCTTATGGCCGGACAGGAGGGTTACAGACAGCGGCACGAGGTGGCTTCCAGGTCTGGCGGCCGAGGGTTGCTCTGTCCTCTGCGCAGACAGGCAAGGTCAGGGCCCACGATGGAGGGGTTGGGGCAGGCTCGCACATTAGAAAAAAGTCATAAAGGGGCCCGAGTGGCCTCTGGGAGCCTGGGGCTGGGGAGGAGGGACTTGCAAGCACCGCTGAGGGCCCAGCTGAGGCTGGAGAATTCCAGCACGAGTCCGGAGTGGCTCCAGCCCACGTGCTGCGAGCCCTCCATCCTCCGGAAACGTTCAGCAGCTCGGGGCGCTGAGGAGGCAGGAGAACGGAACTGAGCCGCGCTGTCGGCTGGGGGGCATCAGGCAGGACGGTGGCAGGAGGCTAGGACCGGCAGGAGCACAGGGAGCCGTGGGTGGGGGTGCCTGGGGCCCGGGCCCCCGAGCACAGAGGACAGGCCATGGGCCGAGAACCCAGGCTACATCTAGAACTCAGCCGGGAAGTAGTTCTGGGGAGGAGTGGGCTGCGTGCGGCTGAGAGCCCCGTCACCTGCACCCAGCGGCGGGGGCGACGCAGGAGGGAACGTCCGCAAGTGGCCAGTGTGACCGGCAGGCGAACGGGCAGTGGGTGTACTTGAACTCCGGCTTTACTTCGGGTCGCCCCATGGAATTCTAGGACACGCTTCCACGTCAGTGAAACTGCAACACGCAGTTTTCCGCTCTCTCACCTGGGAACTCCCAAGGGCCAGAGGTACCAAGGGGCAGGACAGGATCTCCACGCTCTCCGAATCCAAAGTGCACACACCTCTCCTGTAGGGACTGCACATTTTCGTCCCCACAAAATTCACGTGTCAAAGACCTAATCCTCAAAAAGATGATGTCAGAAGCTGCGGCCTTTCGGCAGGGAGGTCAGGAGGGTGGAGCCCTCGTGATGGCATCAGCACCCTTCTAAGAAGAGAGAGAAGACAGCGGCCTCCTGCTCTCGGCAGTGTGAAGACACAGTAAGAAGATGGCTAGCCACAAGCCAGACACAGGATCTGCTGTGACCCTGACCTTGGGCTTCCCATCATCCAGAGCTGTGAGAAATAAAAGTCTGTTGTTCACAGGCCACTCTGATACTGATACTGATTCTTTGTTGGAGCAGCTCGACTAAGACACCTCTCCCACCCAGTTCTCCCGTGAGACACTCCTCCTCGCCTGGCATCAAGGACCCCTCCCCCTCTTCGGGATCTACTGCCACCACGCACCCCTTCCTTCAGTGGGTTCCTTTCCTGCCTTCCACAGATGGCTTACACGACTTGGACTCCTTTGGAGGCCTTGCCCCTGCCCGTCCCCGACCTGCAACCACCACCCAGCATGCCACTGGGCTCCATCTCAGCCAACAACCCGAACTTTCTCTGAGCTCCAGAGCCTTAGCTCCCCAACTCAGGCCACCTTCCCTCGGTCTGCATCTCTCCATGGCCTTCTTCTGAGGACCCCAGTCATGGGACTGAGGGCCCACCCTACTCCAGGATGACCGCCTCTTCACTGATTACATCTGCAAAGGCCCTATTCCCGAACAAGGTCATCTTCTGAGGTTCCAGATGGACATGAATTTCTGGGAAACACTATGCAACCCACTACAATGGCCAATATACAAAAATCAGTCAGTGAAATGCACCACATTAGCGGAATGAAGGAAAAAAGAAACACATGAACATCTCAACTGATACAGAAAAGGCCTTCAAAAATCTAATGCCCTTCCATGATAAAACCACTCAAAAAACCAACAACAGAAAGGAATTTCCTTAGCCTGACAAGGGCATGTATGAAGAGCCCACAGCTAATACACCCAGTGATGAAGAACTACAAGCTTCCCCTCAAACTGGGAACAGGACAAGGATGACTGCTTCCCCTGCTTCTGTTCAACATGGTACTAGAGGTTTCTGACAGGAAATTAGCCAAGGGGAAGAAGTAAAAGGCATCCAGATTGGAAAGGAAGAAGTAAAGGGTCTCCAGTTGCAGACGAGGTGTCACATATAGACCTAACAGGGAAAAACACCCCTGCCTGGCTCCTAGACACGACAGCACGACGGACGTGCAGTTCGGTGTCCTGCTTCTGCCTCCTTCACATGCGAGCACGCGCAGAGCCGCCCCTGCGGTGGGATGTCCGGCTGCGGCTCTTCTCACGCATCTTCCTTCTCTGGGACAGTGCCGTGGTGGTGACAGGAAGTACGCAGAGAAGCAGAAGGACTCCCGGGGTTAAGGACCCACCAGCTGGGAGCATGGGGAGCTAAGTGAGAGGGATGCCCCGTGGCAGGCTGAAAAACAGCGCCCCATCCCAAGAGACCTACAGCAGATCTTGGTGACTGTGAATGTGACCTTTTTAGGAAAAAGGGTCTTTGCAGAGGTCATCAAGTCAAGGATCTTGAGATGAACAGACCAACCTGCATTACGTCGGGCAAGCCCCGAATGCCGTCACGGGCATCCTTAGAAGAGAGGAGGGAAGACACCCATGCGTAGAGGAGAAGGCCACGGGAAGGCAGAGGGGGAGACCCGCACGCGCGGCTCTGCACACACAGCGGCCAGCAGGAGCTAGGAGGGGCGAGGAACAGAGTCTCCCCTGAAGCCTGTGGAGGGAGCACAACCCGGGCCGAGTTCAGACTTCTGGCCTCCTGAACTGTGAGACAATAAATACGTGTTGTTTTAAGCCACCTAGTTTGTGGGAATTTATACAGGGCCTCAGGAAACTCCTATCCTGCCCATGTCCTCCCCGTCTCTGTAACTGGCACCACCAGTCACTGCCCCGGCCAGACCACCTGGGTGGTGAGCTTACGAGCATCATGTGCCGTGGCCATGACACCCACTCTTCTCAGGTGTCACCTCTCTACGCCGCACGCTGCTACCACCCATCTTACAGAAGAGGCACCTGAGGCTCACGGAGAGGTCAGTAACCTGCTCAGGTGCGGCAGAGCAGCAAGGACAGAGCCTGGAGGAAAACCCAAGCGAGACTTGTTATGAAGCCTACGGTTCTCGATGCCCTGCCTTGCGGGCCAGATTGGATACATGGAGGTCACTACGTGGGAGAGAGCTGAACAGAGATGTCAACCTGAGCACAGGATGGAAACTTGGCCTCGACTTCCAGAGGGATCAGGGTGAAATGGAAACTCGGGTATCAGACTCACAAGGCAGACAGTGTCTGGAGTCATGGCATCGGGGGAGATGGCCAGGGAGGTGACACAAATTACAAAAGAAGCGCCCAGATGGAGTTCAGGGAGCACCACCATTTGGAGGTTGGGGTGGGGGTAGGAACTAGTGAAGGAGGCAGAGCTGGCCAGGTCAGAGAGAGGGACCCAGGCAGTGAGATGTCATGATGGTCACATGGACAGAGCCATTCATTCTGGGCTCAGGAGCGAGGACATGGACTGTGAACCAAATGCTTTCTCTGGGACAGTATGACCTTCACACCTGCTCTGGGAAGCAGATGTGCTGTCATGGCAATTGTGGTCTAGAGAGATGGAGCCACTGCCCAGGGTCACGGAGCAAGTAAGCGGGCCCCTTCTACTCTCAGAGCACGCGCTGTGTTCCCCCATGCCACATTGGGTGGCCACGTGGCAGATTGCGTGACTGCTGCTTCGTGTGTCCCTCCCCAGAGACATGACACACAGCAAGTACCCAGGGAGCGAGGGGAAATGGCGTGGCTGGTGGCTTGTGCACTCTCTGGAATGGAAGGTGACGGCGTCTCTCAGGAGGGAGACGGGGGCAGCAGGAGGCCGGCTTTACCGGACACTGCACTCAGCGACGGGCTAGTCAGCACGGAAGGGAGAGGCACAAGCTGCCGAGAGCCACAGACGGCGACCGCAGCCCTGAGAGTCTTACCATTCTGGCCCACTGTTGGACGCCCAGGCTCATCCCCTCCTGCTCCGCATCCACGGCCAGCTCTAATGCCACCTCCTCCATGAGGCCTTGCCAGCGCCAGGCCCTCTCCTGGCTCCCCCTGCATGCTGAGCCCACACGTCCCGCAGGAGCGCACCTCACCGTATCTGTCTTGGTATGTCTCCTGGCACCTGCCCCCAGTAGGCGCGCATTACCTGTTTGTGACCCAAGTGTCATTTTACCAGTAAGCATGAGGTGGGAAGGGCTGCCACCACCTTCCTGATCTGTGAATGACTCACAGAGAGGGCCAGGTCCTCCGACTGCCAGATGCACGCCTGCAGGAACGCACTGTTGGAAAGGATTTTCCGACGTGGAGAGTGGGTGCTGGAGGCATGGCCTCTTCGCCGGGGCCCCGTGTGAAGGGCCCCGTCCCCCTCGGCAGGCGGGGCTCGAATGGGAGGTGTCCGCAGAGGACACTCCTGCAAGCGATGCAGGGCAACTCTGCACGCGAGCCCGCTTTTGCACAGAGCTTCAGACCGGACAGGAATTCATCAAGGAATCACCCCAGGTCTCAAGTTAAAGGGACTTCCAAGGGCCTCACGATCATTTCAGTAAAAGTCTTACTCGATTCTTTAGGGGCTAATTCTCTCTGGGTCTTTGCTGAATCAATTCGGCAAACAGGATGGCGCAGAAGCAATAAGAGAGACGCCGCGCACGGCCGCACGGGCCATGGGCCGGCGAGGCACCGCCGGAGGCTGCTCAGAGACACCCCCTTCCGGAGGGAGCAATCCCCGGTCTGCGTGACAACTCACGGCCAGCGCGTGACAGGAGAGCCGCCGCTTCCGTAGCGTTACTGAGAACGTACCTTGTTCGTGTCGGCGACGCTGTTCTGCCGGGCATCGAAGATGATAAGCTTGTGGGACTGCGCGTTGGCGTCCATGATCGTTTGCAAGTATTTTTCGTCTTCTTTGCAGCGTCTGTCGTTGGGACCCACCAGTGGCTGGCTGCAACGGGTAATCGTTGCCTGACTTTCTGGATGGATCCACGACAAAACCTAGCGTTTGTAAGCAACAAACATTAGTACGGCTCCTAAAATGCCGTGCCCTGATTCCAGGCAGTAAAAATAAGCTGTCTTTCCAAGCACGGCTTCATCTGCACTCGCTCCTCCAAGGCGACGGCTGAGACCAATCGCCGCACGACGGAGGCTCTGGAACACTGTGCGGCGTCAGGCGGGAAGAATTCTGACTAGGTCAGCTCCAAGAATCCCCTCCCACCTCTCAAATTCTATGACTCAAAGGAAAACAGAAACTAAGTCAAAGTCGACTAATGTCTAGCCCCGCTTCTATTTGAATGACTCGTTCTGTCTCCTCATTTAAAAGCATCGTGCATCTCCCCGCTCACATGCGGGGCAGGATGAGGGCAAAGCGAGGACAGGCTCTTATGAGACCGCAAGCCGGGCTCCCAAACCTCCCGGGGTCCTCAGGCAGCTGCAAGACGGGGGGTCCTGCCGGAGCATCCTCTGGGCTCTCCGACGCCCACGGCCCCTGCGCACAGTGGGTGCCACGGGGGGGATGCGCTCGTTCACAGTCCTCAGAGCACGCGTGTGCGGCTGTCCCTCAAGAGAAACACTTGTGCCCCTGCCGGCCGCTACTTGGCTCCGGGTGGTGGCGCCACGTCCCGCTCGGCGTCTGAGCGAGTATCTTGGCTCTAAGACGCCCTGACGAGACCAGCGAAGGGCACCATGAATGCGGCAGCCGCGCGCCCTCTCTTGCTGCTCCCTGGTGGTCCCCGTTGCCTGTGGAGGGTTTTAGGCCTATTTTTCTACTTTCTGTTTTGTTCGCTAGAGTTTTTTCTGTCTTGCTCCTTTCCACATTAGATCTAGTTACAGTCTGGGTTTCTGCCTAAGGGATGATGTTTATCACTTACCGGGACTCTGCCTTTTGCTCGGAAGGCTGCCACTTTTGAAAGGTCATCATCTTTCACACTAGTTGGCACAACAATGACAGCTGGGTAGGTGTCACAGAGCTCATAGTTACTGTTCACTTTCGATATTTTCCAGCTCTCGTTTGGCAAGCCCTGCAGGGTGTTAGAGAAGGGCAGGGGAGCAAACTTTCGCATTTTCAGAAAGTACTAACTGGGAACCACATCCATTTTTTATTTTCTCCTAAAATCCATTCATAATTCGTCATTCACTGCTACTCAAAAGTTTAAATATATGTTTAACAAAACCTATTTCTTACCCATTTTAAAAAATTTAATAGAGCAGAAGACTTTTCAAACGTATTTTAAAATGGTAAATATCACACACTAGAATCCCAATCCTGTACATTTCTTGCTGTGTTTTCTATAAAGAATGAGCACAGTATTGCAATGAGCGTTATTTTTAAAAATTTTTTGTCTTTATTCAAAAGGTAGAAGTAGGATATCTAGAACTTCTTTATTGTATGCTTTTCTTCCACTAGAATTTATAATTTTATTCATAGATTCTTTATTGCTCATTTAATCACCTGTCTTTCTGTTTGTTTGCTTGTTGGTGGGCAGCGAAGCAAGGCTGACTGAGCGATAGCAGAGTGATAGTCCAAAGCTCCCGAGGATGGAGCTTTTGGAGACACAGAAACTTTCTGCAAACATTTACAGAAAGCAATATCAACTGAACATACAGTGGAGACAAAGATCAAATGTCATGAAAACAGTATCTTATTGGAATGTCTTGAACCTGACAATGCACTGAAGACTTTCTAGGCACAGGAACACCACACCAGGCTGATGTAGTCTTCCCATACACTTAATCTAATTCAGGCCATTGCTTTTGATCCTTACTCATCAACTCATCACCAGAATATCTAATAAAAACCATCTGGTTGATTTGCTTTTTAAACCCTTGTGCTCATACTCCACTTGCCCTCTGGAAAAAGGCTGAGCAGCAACAGCATCAAAGGGCTGGCCTTGGGACAATGGGGCATCGCAGGGTGAAGAACGTACAAGCTACGTAAGTCATGCCTACACACAACTGGTTTCAAACGGTTTCTTCTCTACTATATTTCTATCCTGTCAGAAAAGAGAAAGATGCTCAACCTACTATTTTCGGTTTGATCAGGACCTTACTTTACCTGTCTCTTGTATTCAGATACAGGATCATAAACTTTCCACCCATTCATGGGAAATTTTTCTTTGTAGCTGAATGCAAAGAGTGTCTGGATACAAAACCACAAAATACACATGTTAGTGTTCCTTTGCTACATCATATGCCCAATATTAAAGCTTTTCATTCAGCCATGAGCTAAATATAGTAAGACTTCTATTTAACCTGTATATTTTGAAGCAACAAACTGGCACTTTCCTTAATCATTACAAAGAATGGACAAATTTTAAACATCTTAATACTAGTCACAAAGAGAGAGGAAAGAGATAAAGGAAACCTCTGGAAAAAAGGAATAAACATGACTTTTGCCCCTCCCCCCCACAAAGGCATACAGAAAATGTTTATTTTGGTGTACTTGCCTGCCCATTGGAAAGAGGAAATGCAAGTTTGTTGAGGTTTTCAAATATCCCAAGTTTACTCTGTTCTTCCTGCTTATAAGCAAGTCGCAAGTTCCTCATATCCTATTGAAGAATTAGCAAAACTCATTTATTGAACATTTACTGAGTATCTGTGAGGCAGACATGTTATAAAGAGATAAATGAAATATCTGTATTCATTTCTCATGCTATAGATTGCTTCTACTAACAAAAGACAATTACCAAAAGTACCTCCAACAAGGAAACAGCCATTGAGGAACCTGGAACGAAGGGGACGCGCTAGGGAAGGAACTCGTCAGGTGGAAGCCAGAAGGTTAGTACCGAGAAGATGCGCACTGACTGCTAGCAGTGCGCACAGAAGCAGCTGCGAGCTTTAAGCTGCCCGAAGAGTGGACTGCAGAATGGAACTGCGGCAGAGCTTCTGCTCTGGGCTCACAGCAAGGACTCTGTGTCACGCAGACTGCGTCCCTCAGTACACTCCTTACAGAAATTCAGTGCTGTTTCCCAAAACCAGTTTCTTTTCTTTTCTTTTTTTTTTAAGATTTTATTTATTTGACAGAAGGGGAGACAGCGAAAGAGGGACCACAAGCAGGGGGAGTGGGAGAGGGAGAGGAAGGTTCCCCGCTCCTGCTATCTGACCTTTTTAAACCTGCGCCGCTAGTTAAACACAAAAGTCTCATGCTTCTTTAACGTGACACGAAATTTGAAGATAAAAATGACCACAAACAGATTAAAGCAAGAGCAATTCAGGCAGCGGCAAAGTTACTGTTGCAATATTATTTATCACAGAGAAGAATGGAAATGACTGAAGCGGCCATCACCGGAGGCACTGATACCAAGGACTTCCGAGACAGAGGTTTGGGGCGGGGTGGGGGGTGGCTAGGCAATACACTACCACCTGTGTTTGCGAAGACCACACAGACACGCTTGCGCGCCCAGCGTGTGCACGGCAATCAGCAAGAGCGGGCACCTGCCTGGAAAAGAACGAGGTAGCCGGGGGCTGGGCAGACACAGACTTACTCTGCTCTACACACCCCTTTTGTACCTTCTTGGTACCTTGTGTACCACCTGTTAAAAGAAACCAAACCTTACCCCTTGCAAGGTTCTCAGGCATGACCTGAGAGGGCTAGAAGTGTGGCCCTAGCATGCTTGGCTGGAAAACATTTAAAAACCACTATCAGCAAATGCTCACCGGGGCTATAAAACATCTACGCACGGCAGCCCCAGGACAACTGCCTAGGCAGTGTCACTTTCCCATGTGCCCTCCCTCCAAGCGACTCTGTACACGCATACACACACACATGCACGCACACCTTGGTAGCTGATTGAGCTCACTTGCTATTTAGGATTGTGGAGAATGAAATCATTCTAAGCAAAGGAGAGAGCAGGTGAAAAGACCCCGTAGCAGGAGTGGGTGGCATGAGGTGAGTCAGCGCAGCCGAAGGAACCAGACTAGCAAGAACGTGGGGAAGGTGGCCTGAGGCGAAGCCACACGGGGCTGTCGACTGGCTCAGACACACGGGCATTTGGTGAGTCTTTCCCTCTAGCCTAAGGATGATGGGACGTTACCAGTGAGTTCTAAGAATGTAAAGGTCAAGTTCCCAAACTGCAGGACTTGTCAAATCACCCCTCTGCTTTAAACCCCAAGACTGCTTCACACAGCTCGCCATGGGGATCCCTGGCCCGAGGAGGATGGACACAGTTTGTGGCAGGACAGCACTGCCTTGAAGCACCCACAGGGACTCTAGGATGCCAGCAAATTCACGATCTGCAAGCATATTCTTTGAAAAAAAGTGGGTTCAACTACAGTCTGGGGTCAACCAGAGGGACCTGACTCGAGAGGTGTGATCAAAGCATAAAGACCGGCAGGAATCCAAACCCTGACCGTGGAAGGGACCCTAGCAATTCTGCATGGACTCTCCTTCCCGGGACTTGAGGGTCATGAGTAAAGTGTACCCCATGACGTAAGGTCTCTGGGAATAAGACACACTGGATAAAGTGTTTCTTAAATGACTAGTCAGCATTAAAAGCATCACACACACACATTTCTACTCCCCACTGGAGGAAGCAGAGGAAACCAAACATAAAATCCTGACATTGAGTTTTTAATCACAGAATTTGTAGACTATTGCTTTCTCTTCAGAAAGTCTCTGACCATCCACTATTCTGAAGGGTCGTGTTAAAACAACAAACTGGAAAAAAAAAAAACTGATCTCTGCTTTTCACTTGGTTTCTCTGAAATATAACAAATAACATGAACACCGAGGTTCTAGGTCCATGTTTATTAGAATACTTTGATAGAGGACAAGAGGTTTACCTCAACAGCTTCCAGAGTGGTATGAATTAGCTGATTCAAGATTTGAAGCGGCCTCTGTCCTGAAACCATGTGACTTACTGACACCCCAGGTGATTCTCGCTGCCCCAAGACCGTGGTGGGCACGTCACTGAAAACCCCGCGCCGACCACCCCGGCAGTCCCACCTGGCTTCATACCATACCTTGCACACGATCTCTATCCCGTAGGAATTGTCCCCGTGGCTCTGCGCGCCAATCTTCTCAACTCTGCTGATCACGCCAAGGGGAACATCGAGGACAAAATTCGGGTCCTGGGTTTACAAATTAACGAAGGCCTATCAGTGTCAGTCAGCAGAGCTTTCATATCTTTCATATTTGAAGTCTTCTCTGGGTGAAAACACACATTTATTTCACATTTCCCCTTTGTCCCAACTACAGAACCGAAGTCTGATTTATAACATGCTTTATGAAGCTGATGTCAAGACTACAATTAAACTCCTCCCACCTGATTTAAGTGCAACTTTAATAGCACTTTTTTCTAGATGCAAAATCTATTTCCAAATATGTACATCTTAAAACTCACCCCATGGTTGTCTCAGAGTGATGGGATTTGAGGGTTCTTTCTGCTTTCTTCTTTATCATTGACTGTGTTCTAAAGTGATTTTAAAAATAAAATACCCCTCTAAAAACTTACCCTCTCTACATTCTTGAAGTACATCTTGAAGTCCGTCACAGTCAGGGTTCCACTTACTGCGCCCATAAATGGGCAGATATACATGACGTCTTTCACTGAAAGAAAAAAAAAAATCCAAGTAGCAACTTCTGCCAGACTTGTGTGTCAATGAATCTTGAGTTTCCAAATATAGACACTTGTGATTCCAGTTTTCTAGGAGTTTTACATTTTTTAATCACATTAAATAAAGACACAGGTAGTCTTCTAAGAAAACTGGGTTTTGTAAAACAATTCTGATTTGCTACTTAGTGGGGTCTTAAGTAAAGGGCTTCATAATAACTTACATTTTGTCATTGTTTTCCAGGTAGTTAACATTTTCCCTGTGCAATAAATTCATCATGTTCAAAAACACAGTAATCAAACTCTGAAGACCCTCGGCTGCCCCTAATGAAAGCGAACGCACCTCCAAAGGAAACTGCAGAACCACCTCGGGGGCATGGAAAACTTCCAACTCCTTATCAGCCTCCATGTCAATTTTCTTATTGTTAATATCAACATATTTAGTATCACTATCAACCATATACGAGCGTCCAGTGCGAGTTAAGAAGCTCCCCCCATCACAAAGATGCTACAGCTCCGCCATCTTCTTTAAGTGCCTCCACACCGTAATAGCGGGAGTGCGTACAGCTATCGGGGATTCCGAGGGGGACGATTAAAGGCCCTACAGTTGTCATCTAGCCAAGTTCTCAAAACACTTCCATTAAACTTTTCTATAGCTCAGTATGTACCAAGCAGCTTCTATTGCTGGGGTTCTAGGGAGAACCAGGCACAGTTCCTGCTCATAAGAAGCCAAGCCCTATGAGAGGCACCACACAGAAAATCACCATTGTAGGCTAGCCTCACAAATGCTAACGTAACCCTGTGGGCACAGTAAGAGCTCAGAAAAGGACCCACTTAGCTCAGCAGGGAAGCAGAGGGGTGAGGCAGGATGGGGAGGAAGAAGGTGGGGGGAGAGAGCGCAGAGTTGTGGGAGATTAGTATGGATGGGTCAAAGGGTGCAGCAAGGATGACAGGACCCGAGACCAGGGAAGACTGATTCGTGAAGGTTCACAGCAGCTTTGTTTGCAATAGCCAACAAGTAGAAGCGGCCCAAATATCTACCAATAGATGAATGCGTAAGCAAACTGTAGTGTAGCCACACTACAGGACACTGTTCAGCAGGAAAAAGGAATGACTGTTGACCCATTTCACAACATGGATATCAAAATAATCATGCGGAGTGGAAGGACCTAGACAAAAGAAGAAAACACTCAATGATTACACTTCTATAACACTGCAGAAAATATAAATTAGTTAGAAAAGAAAGAAAGGAAAGAGGAAGGTAAGAAAGAAAGAAAGAAAGTTTCAAGACCACCGGTGGGATAAGCAGAGTCCAGAGCCACAGACCAGGATACTCAGTAGCAGTATCGTTTGGAGGCCCTGGGAGAGCCCAGCTACTCAAACATTCTTTTTTCTTTAAAGATTTATTTATTTATTTCAGAGAGTGAGAGAGCAAGGTTGGGGGAGAGGGACAAGCAGACTCCGCTCTGAGCCTGACATGGGGCTCAATCTCATGACCCTAAAATCACAACCCTGAGATCACAACCCAAGCCGAAACCAACAGTCAGATGTTTAACCGACTTTGCCACCCAGGTGCCCCTCAAACATTCCCAACACGAGATGATTATACTGAGACAAAGCACACATCTTTGGGAGGGAGCCATGAGGGTAGAAGGCAACACTCTGTCTAGTGAACCAGACTGGCCAGCCCAAGCCCCGCAGTGGTGAGATGAAAAGGTCATACCTAGCTGCCCTCCCGTCTGCTCACAGTGTGGTAGACTACCTGGGAAATGCCTGGCGGTCCAGAGGGGATGGGGGTACTCTACTCGTGCCACTGCCCTTACAGCGCAGAGTAGGAACACATGCTCTTTCTCTTGTGCTCCCACTGTATTTCTAGAATCTCATAAGCCACCGAAATTTTTTTGCCAAGTTCTCCAAACTGTTATTAAGATGTGACATGGATCTTCTGTCAATATATTCTTATAGCGAAGGATTCCAACGAAGCATTACATTCCAACGAAGTTGTGCATTACAATGAAGTTGCAACGAAGCATTACGTTACTGTGAGTCTAACCAGCCTTCAGTTCCTCAGGAAAAGTCGGGCCCCTCTTCTGTTGGTGATGCCACCAAACACTCCACTGGAACTTAGAGTGGCTCTATGTAGTCTCTACCTCTTAAGGTCATGATGACATTAAGAAGAATGAACAGACCTAGTCCACTTGTCCCCTCATTAAATTGGTTGGGCTGATCTCCAGCACATACTTCACCCATGCTCGCAAGTAAAATGCCATTTCATTTTATGGCTCTCAATAAGCACAGTGTACTCATTAAACTTACCAGTGGCCTTGATGGATTCTCCTGGAAAAAGTGGCGTTTCTTCCATCTGTGCCAGCTTATTTCCATCTCTTAGGGCCTGGCAAAAAACCAAACAGGAGTAAATCTCACTTTCCTACTGCATACCTGGGAAGAACTGTGGTGTTCTGTGCTTTTGCTACATGGCTACAGAAGCGTGCAAACTCGATGCCCCTCCCCCTACAAGACAATCTCAAAGCTCAGCATCACAGGACACCATGCTGCATTTTCTAGCAAATTGTTACACATATTTAAATCCACAGTTAGAAAGCATTAATACAGAAATGGCTTGACATGACAGATAGATACTGTAATCACCATACAGACAGCTATTACAAGTTGCCTACAGAATTTGGAAGGTCAGAAAAAGGTTACCTTCTGAGCATGAAACGAACACAGGTGAAATCAACATTAGATGGAGGTGCTTAGCTGGCTGTAAGCACTGTCTAGTGTGGGAAACCCCAAATTCTAATGGAAGTAACCAGAGAGGAGTCTCAACGGCAGTGACGTTCTAAGGAAAGCCCTAGGCTTCTGTACTGCAGCCCAGCTACCTGCGTGTGTGCACAAAGCGTCAGGGTGGAGGGAGCAGGGAGGGGGCTTGTCAGTGGGCATCCCCTCCAGGCCACGAGAGAGGGTGCTCTGGTCTGGCAGACAGGAGTGCGCCCATCACTACTGTGGCGCAGGGTGTGTTCCTTGGGCTTCCCCCAGACCAATTCGCTCTGCGCTGAGTCCACGCTCACCAAGCAAATCGCTGATGACTTCTCAGGTTTCCTGGCTACGAAGATACCAGGAAAACGACGTCTTGGGTGGCTGCAGAGACACACGCCCACACTTGCAAGTGTCCAGACTGGCCCTGCTGCCCAGTAGCCAGCTTCCTGTGAGTTCCGTTGGATATAGTGCCGGATAGCTCAGGTGAGCTGAGAAAATGGCGTGTGAACCACAAAGTTACGGAGCCTGAACTTGGGGCCTATTCCAAGTTACTGCCACCCTGTGACATGCTGCCAAGGAAACTGGTCACTTTCTCCTCGGCATCTTTGACATCATGTGTCACGAATAAGAATAAGGTGTTCAAAACCCCAGCAATTCCCAAGCTGTTTCATAGAGCATTAGATTCCCAATGATGTGAATAGGTCTTTTTTTGGGGGTCAAATTTGGACAATGCTGGGTGAAAAAAAAGCTAAACTGTGTTTTTTTTTTCTCATTATAGTGAGAAAAAGTCTGTAGCATATTCACGGACACCAAATCAGCAAGAGGGCGCTAGAGTACGCCACATTTCCCATACCGATTTGATCAGGCCTGCTTTCTCCAGAAAATAATTAACATCGAGAGGCCACTAGTGTTTGGCAGAAAACAGGTCAGACAATACTATGTTTTCATAATATTTTATGAAGCAAAATATTTAAAACAGATTAGAACTTATAATTCTAAATTACTGAACATGGTAACTCTAGATTATTGAAAATTCAAAACTAATTTTTTGCATAGTTACAAGAAGAATACTCCAATATGTTTTGTTAATGGGACTTAGAGGTCAATTTAAAAACCCTATATATCATAGTTTTATCATTGTTATAAAACAAAGAAAGGAAAAAGGTCAAAATACGAAAGGCAAATTCCATGCTAAATGTTGGTTGGGGTATGTCTGTTCTACAGGGAGGGTACAAAATGATGTGGTCCATCCTCCTTATCAAGATACGTGATTAAATAATGCAGATTAAGGGTTCAATGTTACCTCTGAACAATTTTATTCAGTTTGATGTTTTGGTCCAGATTGGTTTTTAAAACACTTCAGCCAAAAATTTTAGGGACATAGAGAACCGTTAAGGGTCAATGGAGAATTGTTAATGGATTCATTTTTATACTCATATCTGATTTGGAAACATCTTTTATCAATAAAGCATAAGCCAATATTTATACTTCTAAATGTCCAGTTTTAGATATACTAACAACATCACCAACCTCAGAAGCTATGAAATTCTGCTTTCTTTTGCCTGAACCAGTGAATAATTTTATAATATAGTTACAAAGTGAGAAAGCTAGTTCAATCAATATCTCAGCTTATAGTTACTTCAAATATTGTATCATTAAAGCTTATTTTAGTGGTTAAATATTATCATATAGACCTAAATTCCTTAACTTATATTTAAAAATAAATGGGGATAGGTTATTTCAAGATATATGCATTAAAGCAAGCTGTTCTAATCAACTGAGCCTGAAGGGGAGCAGGGAGAGAAGAGGGGGGTAGAATGCGAGTCCCTTTAAGCTTTACAGTGAGCCACATCAAACACTCTCAAGTCCTCAACACAGGACGGGAAACACCAGTGACTGGGACCATTCTGAGAATGTACAGGGATCTCAAGACTGAAGCTGAAGATCAAACATGTCTCTTCTTTTCTGATAGTCATGTTAAATTTGGCTTGAAATATCTATGCATTTATATGAGCCATGAATGTGCTGGTGAGACATAGTGAGACAAACCTTTCACTAATCATAATTTAATCTGGGACATGTTTTAGAAGTGATGGAAAAGCAACTATCAGAACAAAACAAATGATCCCACTGCTTCTGATTTTGGCAGAAAACTTTGATTTTGTACAGGAAACACATTTAGCATAGGAATTCAAGAGAATGGTTTCTAAAGGTTTGTTATTTTGTAAGTACAGTAGATTCCCTTAATAAAGCTGGTTGTTAGGAAATGGGACTCACACTTGTGCTACATTAAACTTTGACTGCAACTACCAAGTTGCAGAAGACATGATTTGACCCTTGATTTATCCAACCCATGTACAGTATAATCAAAGGATGGAATATTCTTGTGGACAAAATTTGATCTCATGAACACACCCATTCCTCTTGGTGTCTCTGCTCCACATGTTGCCCAGTTGAGGAATTCCCTGTGGAGATCTCATCCAAACCCTGTTCCAGTGACCCTGAAAGCCCAATGGAAGGCCCAGCAGCTCCGTGAATCTGTCCCCGAGGACTCCAGCCCACCAGATGGCCCTGGCCTCTCTGCTACTTTCCTCATCATGAATCAAAGCTGCTGGGTGGACACTTTCTGTAATGGCGGCATGCCAAAAACAGTGGTTTTCAAACTAGGCTCTCCAAGGTGCTTCCAGGGTCACCAAAGGAGGGTGGGCTGGGCAAAGGCACAGCTGAGCACGGGGGTCGCTGGCCACGCTTCCCTGGAGCTGCTCTTCTAAGTGCTTTCAAATATGGAGATTCTAAGTAAGCTTCGAAGAAAGTTCTGCTGCTTTGAAAGACTACAGAGGGTCTTGAGGAACTGAGCAAAGAGTAAGCACTCAAGAATCTTGATGCATGGTTTTTTTTCTTCTGATTAGTAAATATAAACCATACGGACTCATTCTGCAAATACCTACAAGGTACCAGGTACTACATTGGGCATCGACCATGCAAATTTGAATAAAGCTAAGTCTGCACCCTCAAGGAGCACCCTTAGCAGATGCATCTGTCCCCTCTCGATCTCTACAAAGGCATTTCAGAGTCCTAGTGTGACCAAGACTCCGTCCCTCACAGCTGACCGTATCTGGGAAGACTGAGAAGCACAGATGAACACATTTCTGGTTGACAAAATGTTGGATAAACCAATTTTTGCAAATAATGTCATAATGGAATCTACCAAACTTGGACAGGAGAGCACTACTGTAGTGGAAAAGCATTTGCTTATCATCTAGAAATCTAGTATGAAATGGCTTCTAAATGCACGATCTGTAGCTACAAACAGATGAACACGTAGAACTTGCCACCTGATCAGCTTCGGCTTCGGAAGGGTAGCCATTGTGCTCTTCCCGAATCTCCTGCACAGCACCAGGTGCACGGACAAGAAAAGGCAAAGAGGAGAAAGAGAAACACGTGCAAACAGACAGGTGAAAGGACAGAAGTTCTTTTTTAAAGAGACACTAAGCATGTAAAAGTTGGCACACGTTTCACGGCTTTGCAAATCACAACATTTTCCCCCTTGGAGTTAAGGAAATAACGTGTTGGCCATCTATAGCATCCTCGGCCTAAAATGGAGTATCTAGTCTGTGTTTGTGTTGGGGCAGAAAAATGAAAAGCAAACAAACATCACGGATTTCAAAGAATGTATGGTCTTTTCTAAATCAAGCAGTACTATAGCATATGGCAAAGAAACAAAATAACAGACACATAATACGCTCATAGAACATAAAGCACCCCATGGTAACTAAGTAAAGGGCAAAACCAAGCCAAAATACAAAGGCAGTCCATTGACATGGATTTTAAACGCAGTAAGTACTCTCATACTCTACAGAACTATTGTTCAGGGCTCAAGTCCACTAGTATTAACAAGCTTTCCACGCACATGCGCATGCACACATCACATGCTGGAGACATACATATACATACAGTCTGTAAATTAGTGCTAAACAAATGTGCTTTATGAATCAAGACTGTAGTAAAGGTTTCTAATTACAGTATCAATGTGCTTCAAAGAAACAGCTAAAAGGTCACATATCTTTAAGTGTTCCCAATCTCTTTAAAGGTATCCTGTGCTTAATTTAACCTCTTCAGAGAATCAATTCATTTCCGAAACTTTAAAAATTGGACTTTCGGTTCAGCAGGTGGTACAAAGAACATAAATGCTGAAGACAACAAGATGATAACCCCTTTTAAAAGTTCTATCAGCTCTCTGGGGCTGCAAATATTAAAATCTGGCATAGATACATTTTTTCTTCATGAAACTTTGGTTCCCACGACTAAATTTCTTGAAAAGGCAATCAGTGAAGAAGTAGCAAAGCTTTAAAAGAACTTACTATTTCTCACCTTTCATTTTTACCAATATGGTGAGATACATTGTCATGATTTATCATCAGATTGGCCAACTACAAAGTTGGTACTGCTACCCTTCAAAGGAGGGTAATTTTTAAAATGCAACGGTTTTTGAAATTTTCATTTTCTTAAATACAAAGAAAATGGAATCATTCTTTGATAAAAATTTTGAAGAACAGAAAAATGAATGACTAAAACGACAAAAAGCCACACAGTAGTTTGAAGTCCATGCAAATGGGAAGTCAAACACTGATATTTAACAATGTGAATCAGTGAAAGAAAATGATTCTCACGAGCAAAAGGAAACATGGTGAAAACAAAGATTAAACAGAGATAAACCAACTGGGATAACAAGAATTTGATTTAACCTGCTTATTTTTGTACTACTTCACTGGCTTCAGTATGATTAACCATTTTAAACTCAAGTCATTATTCTGTTAAAAGCCACATTATTTTCATTGAATGGATATAGGTTAATTCTCAAACATCTGACACTCAGATTCAAATGCATGCACATTACCAATCTTTGTCTCGCTTTATGCATATTCTGAAATAAAGGGAAGGAAAGTCATGAGGAAAAAGCAAGTGACAATCCACTTCTCGTAAAAGCTACATCTGTATTTTAAGAAATACTAATTGGGACTGATTCTGCTAAATTTATCCTCAAGACTAGCACTTCTGCCCTTCAGATTCAGCATGCAGACAGAAAGGTGACTTGGACTGTGAATTAGAAAGGACGGACAGCAAATCACCACTTTGCTGCTGCTGTTAAATTCTTTAGCATGAGTTACATAGTAAGCAAGGTGAAAAGAGGACTCTGCGGGCCTGGCCATAAGAGCCCCTGCCGGGAATCTCCACTGGGTTAGAATTCGTGCAACCCAACAAAAGTCAGAACTGCACGCTGGCAACAACGTTAGCATCCTGCCCTCACACACACCGGCTTTCACGGCACATAAAAACACCGGAACAAACAAAGCGTTTCTAGTGAACACTTAAAGCTATGACACAGCAGGCCAAGTTGATCCGAGTGACTCATAAACCCAGTGAGAAGGTAAAGAACACTAAGTGGACCAAGTGTTCATCAAGCACAGAGACACACAAGTAGGAGGTCCATGTGCGGAAAGCCACATATCCTTACCCTTATATCAGGCCTCCTGAAAACCTGTTAGTTAAAACACAGAACATCATCATCATGGACACATCACTATTGACCCGTGAAAGATGCTGTTAAGCTCACCAGCCCATCCCGATGGAACAGACTAATCCTCTCACTAAACCAACCTGATCAATCCTAACACATTTGCCCTCTAAGTTTTGTTCGCTATTGAATCAATCTTAACACATTTGTCCTGTAATTCTCAGGCAAGTCTCTGATGTGGAGAAACTTATTGCCCTTAGGCTAAGACAAACTACATTATTTTAAACACAAACCCCTTCTGTCAAGTACCATTCTAAGCCATTGTGAGCAGACTGTGTTTGAGAAGTTCAGTTGTGTGTCTGTTTGGAATACTGAATGCATTTTCCCCATAGAAACAATGACACAAAACGGCGGTTCTGCTCCCAAACCAGCCCACAGAGACAAAACAAAAACGGAACCCAAAAACCACAAAAGCCCCCACACTTGACCCAGAGCACAGCTCAGCTGTTGGTGCTAATGGTATCATAAACCCCAGTTAACCATAAATCTTAAGCTGGTTTCTGTAGAAATTATATTTCCAACTCACGCTCAGGACACCAAAATGAAACTCTGTGCTGTGGCCATCAGGCCCCGGAGAGAAGGGTGCCTGCCCCTCACCCTACAAACAGGGAAGAGGCAGCTGCAGGTGGGAAGAGGTAGCTGACTCTGCTGGGAGGGGAGGGGAAGAGGGGGGAAGCCAAGCTTTATTAACCCTTAATTAAGCCTGTGACTTCTACTCGAACACACAGTGTATGCACTGGTGAAGCTCTGGTGGGAGAAAACAGAGAATGGATGGAAAGCAAGGAAGATGTGAACATCTGTTCCCCGGTCCCCAAGTGGAAATCCTACCACCTAACCACTATAGGTTCTATGGGAAACAGATCATTAAAAAAAAAAAAAATCAGCAGAGGTTCCAATTATTAGCTTTATAGTTTTACTCAAGATAGATAAGATCATATGACTACAAGGCTATTGACTTCAAAGAACATTATTGTATCATCATTAAAATACCCACTGACGTAATGGGGCGCTTGGGTGGCTCAGTGGGTTAAAATATCCACTGACTTAAAAAAGGTTCTGAAATAAGTGATGATACTATAGCTCAGACACCTAAAGCCCATAAATTCCTAAACATAAACTAAACTAAAAAACCTAAACCTGCCTTTTTTTTTTTTTGCAGGAGGGGGCAATGGATATGTTTATCCTCTTGATCGTGGCGATTAAGAGGTGAATACCTATCACAATGAATTAAACTGTATACTTTAAATATGTGAATTACACCTTGGGAAAGTTGTACAAAATCAAGAAAATACATGCCTATGTGAGTAAACAGTGCAAAATGGGGCAGAGATGGCAATGCAGACTCCAGAGAGAAGGTCTCCCGCTCCAAGCACGTTCCCTCCCTAGTGAATGGTTCCATGTGTACAGTGCGAGTAGCACAGAGGAAAACAGTGAATTTTTTCCCAGACAAGCACCAAGATCTAAATTTGTATACAAGTTCGCACTGGGGTTAAAACTCCCTTCCTCTGCTCTCAGGCCCCTCTCAAAATGTCCCTTGGGGCCCCCCGCACCAGAGAGGCGAGGGCTCCCACCGACCACTCTCTCTCGGTGAGGGGGTCGCTGCGCTCTTCCTTGCCTCTCTGGGCTCTCCGGGCCCCGCATGAGCACACCAGGACAGTACGGCCTGGTCTCCGGGGCCGGTGGCGGGTCGGCCTATGAGCCCTGCCCTGAGGAAGAGGCCGCGGGTGTCCACAGCTGCCTCTGGGAAAGTGTGTTTAACTCGGGGCCCACTGTGGCCTTACACCTAGGCCAGGCCCTCCAAGCCAGCTTTGACCAGTAACTGCGGTCTAACTCCGTTTGGCTCCTATCTTAATTCTTAATAAGGTAATAGGTGACACCACAGAACCTCCAACGGCCTGGAAGGATTTCGGAAGCTTTCAACGCAGCCAGTGCCTGTGGGACAAAGACCAGCAAGCAGTTGTGTTGAAGGTGTCGTGCTAGGTGCGTCACACGCGTCATCTCAATGCTCGGACCCTCGCAGCCACCGGAAGGAGATACTATTATGCCCCTGTGACAGAGGGTTGCGCTGGCGCACAGAGCCCAGAGAGACTAAGGCAAATAAGTATCAGTCTTTTATAAGTGACCTGTTTAGAGCTTATGCGTCTAAGAGGCTTTTTTTTTTTTTCTTATTTAAGAAAAGACTGCGATAGTGAAGTAAGAACACCACTGTTTTCTATTTCAGGGGTGAGGCCTACAAAGAATTTTGCTGTAGCTATCGGACCGTGACAAAACGAGTTAAAAAGAAGGGGTACGTACCCTGCTCTGAAGAGAGAACTGTTGGCTCAAATCATTCCTCTTGCTGTTGGTGTCTTAATAACCAGAATTCTACCTAATGTGGTGGTCACTGGTTGGCTAAAGTCACAGGCCCCAGGCAGGTGAAGACAAATCTTAACTAGTCCTCAAAATATAACCCCGGTCTTCGGGACTGGTCACACCTGAATCTTGCCCGACCCCCTTTGTCAAACTCTTGCCTACAACAGTCACTTTCCACTCTCTGAAGCCCTCCGGGAAAGGTAATGAAGCTGTTCGTGTTTAATTCCATCCTCAATGAAACATGTTGGCCCCAACTCCCACTCAGGAAAGAGACGAGGATATTTGTAATGGAACTAGTAAACTGAGATCTGATAACTGTTGATATCCTTTCTCTAACAAAATTCTACCATCTTTACTGGCATAACTTTGTTTCGTTTAAATAATACTTCTGATGTATCATGAGTTTTAGATGTATTCATCAAGATTTATTTTACATGCAATATAGAATCATTCAGCAGT